GTTAAAACATCAGAGCATTGATTTGAAATTGTTAACTGATTTTGGCAAAAAGTTGTACCGACTTATAAGCGGGTCAATGGCAAATCCCATCAAAATAACCTCAAAAAATACAACCGACTTGTAGGCGGACCGACTTATAGGCGAGTATATACGGTAATAAGGAAGGGTATTTTTACCAGATTTTTGTACATCAGGACCATTTGGTCAAGTGTTCTGGTCCAGGCCAGGGCTCTATTAATTTGTATTCTACTGAGAGGAGTTATTCCCCTTTGCCATTTACTTGTGATAATTAATCACTGTAAATAATGTACTTAAAAGGTTAATAGAATAAGAGAATTATGCAAGAATTTTTATTGTATAATACAAAAAGTACTTTCATAGTATTAATGATCAGGTAAATTTGTAAGTAATAGATAAATAAAAATGAGACAAAAATAACTTGTCTTATTAAATGTTCATCAAAGACCAAGAGAGGCCAGTGTAAGAGATTTCAGTTCATTTTATACTTTATGGATCCTCTAAATTGTTGTATTATACTCAGGTTACCGTTAAGGCCCTTGGGCCTCTTGTTTTTTGTAGTTGTATGATTTGATTATAAATCAGAAAGTTATGTGTAGTTTCTGTGCTTTGGTTATGTGTATAAAGACTATTTTGGATTAGTTTTTGATGTTATAATTCATTCATTTTTAAGTGTTTATAAGCTCTTGTGATTCGTCAGAGTCATTTTTCCCTTGACACGATGGTCATTATGCAGGTGTGACTATTTATCTTTACATCTTCAGCGTAAGCTGTATTTTACTTGTAGTAGGGCAATACAAACTAGTGGCAGACATCAAAAAATAATTATATATCATGATTTGTTTGTCTTATTCAATCTAAATTATTTTATTGGCTCCCATATCTCTTAAATTGCAACACTCAACACATTGAATGCTATCTAAAAAAGAAAAGAAATAAAAAAAATGCAAGGGGGCCCCCAAAACTTTTTTTCATTTGTGGAATTCCTTCTAGGTCCTATTAATTTGAGTGAAATTTTTTGGTTGGTAATTCAAGTGATGTCATTCTTTCCATCGACTTTGAAAGTTAAAAGCTGGTTTTAATCTGGAAAATCTCTTTTCACTTTGTTTTTTTCAATTTGAATGAAAAGACACTTCACATGTGCTCTGAAATATTTCAAAAGTAGACAATTATGAGTGAACATATTACATCAACAGGATTAATCCAGTAAAGCTAGTGATTTGCATTATTGAATTTTACACCCATAAACCCAAGGAACCCCAGTGTTTTGTGGTCCAAAACTTGGCCTTGAAATTGAAGTTTAAATTTTTCAATATTTCAGACATTTGATTGCTTCTTGGCACTTGGTACATTTCACTTTTTGTAATATATATGTGGGCTAATTGTGCAATTGCTTCAACAAAATTGAATTGACCTTTTCTTAATTGAAACCAGTTATTCTTATTATAGAAGCTTTTATTTGATTGGATTCTTTGAAAATAAGTTCTCACAATAAAGAGCAGGTTTCCTGAACATTGGGGAATCAATATTCCCGCTGTTAATTATACAGTTCAGATTACATATATGTATTTTATTTAAAAAATGGTAGCCATTTCTCAGCTTGAAAAAATTCCATATTTTAGACCAAAGAATACAAGGCATATTTGTTGCACATTCCCTCACAGATTTATCATGGAGGGTCTGTTGTACATATAAAGGAATTTATCAGCAAATCAATTTACCCTGTCAATATGCACTTCAGATATACTTTGTTTTAATCCCAGCTTTTAAATTTAAAACAATTTTATCAGTTAATTATCTCCAAAAATGCTTTTAATATATTTTCTTTTACCAAGTCTTATATATTTTTTATATTATGATTAGCACACTTTTATGGGTAAGCTTTTCATCAGATGTCCCAAAGTTCTAGTACTTCTTTCCATTTTGTGTCACAAAGGTGTGGTAAAATGGATAGTACATGTATAGTTAAATTGCATTTTAAGGTAAAAAGGGGCTACAAAATGCAATAGCTGTTTATTTGATGAGTTTTTAGCAACAGTAAATATTTAAATTATAAAAAAACATTTTTCTGAAACATTACCACATTTAAGTCGTGTATTCTTCATGATATTTAAGTAGACTTTAAGTTGCAGAGCATTTTGCTTTTCACCTAATATTAGAAAATTGTTAAGGATAAAGTAGAGTCAAACCTCATTATCTTGAAGTCTATGAGACTGAATATCATAGAATTTGATATATTGAGGTTATAAAGTACTTAAAGGAAAAAAAAAAAGAAAGGCTCAAATTTGTTCTGTTGTATGTCATCGTCGTTGTTGTAAACTTTTCGAATTTTCATCTTCTTCTCCAGAAACAATGGACCAATTTCATCTCAACTTGCTACAAAGCATCCTTGGGTGTAGGAGATTCAAGTTTATTCAAATGAAGGGCCACGCCCTCTTTCAAGGGGAGATAATTAAAAATCTGTGAAAATTTAATGGGATCTTTCAAAATCTTCTTAAAAACCACTGGGCCAGAAAAGTTGAAACGTATGTGACAGCTTCTTTTAATACATAGTGTAAATTCATGTTTATTCAAATCATGACCCCCGGGATTAGGGTGGGGCCACAACAGGGATCAAAGTTTTACATACAGATATATAGGAAAAATCTTTAGAAATCTTTTTCTGAAGAACAGCAAAGCCATGATTAGTCATATTTAGGAGTGAAACGGTTCACCACGGTATCGATTCACCGCGGTATTTTTTCTCGGTTTGATACACGGTGCAAAATCTCTAATTTTCGGTTCGGTTCATTCTTTGGTCGGGATCGTTATTCAGTCGGGTTTGGCATAAGGTAAAACATGCTCCTCAGTATAAATAAGTATAGAAAACGTAAATTTTTGATGACTGATAGCTTGTAAAATAATTTTTGACAGTCAAATAATTTTAGTCAATTTCTTCTAGTCAATTTGCAAATAAAATTCGTAAAATATGTGACTAGATTTAGAAAAAAGAAAGCATAAAACAACGTTGAATTCATTTCCTTCTATCAAAATGTATCGTATCGAAAATAACCGAACCGAGAGAAAATTATACAATACGTATCGAACCGTGAAGGAGGTGTATCGTTTCACCCCTAGTCATATTAAAACAGAAGCATCCTCAGGTAGTTTAAATTCCAGTTTGTTCAAAGCATGACCCAAGGGGGTAGGATGAGGCCACAACAGGGGATCAAAATTGTACATAAGAATATATGTAGGAAATATCTTTAAAAATCATCTTCTCAAGAACATCAAAGCCATGATTAGTCATATTAATACAGAAGCATCCTCAGGTAGTGTAGATTCATTTTTTTTTTTTCAAATCAAGCCCCCCCCCCCCCCCCCCCCAAGGTTAGGGATATGGGTCAACAGGAGCTCAAAGTTTTACAGATGGGGCGGTTGTAGTACATGTACAGGGTTCGACATTAACATTAGTCCGTTAGTCTCAGACTAATACATTTTCATTCGGACTAATAAAATCTGTGGCTAATTAGTCCAAACGGACTAATAAAAATTTCTGGAAATTTTTTTTAAAATTACCGATGTTCGATTCTGGACTACTTTGACTGGAATATCCCACATGTATTTTTAGCTTTCTAGCTTCTTATTGGGAAGTTAGGTAATTCAGAGTCAATTCGGCGCTTAATTTTAGGTCTGATTGGCATGACATTAAACATTTTAGCAATCATGATTTAGTTTGACACATAAAGAAAGATGTCGGACGTTTGGATGTAATGTATGTAGAAAAATGAACGAGATCGGGAATATGATCGTAGTTCCTGATCGCGAGATTTCAACGAATCTTAGAATAAAACATTTCACGTAAATGATTTGTTTATTTCAAAAAAAGTATAAAATGTATTGCAATGTTTATTTTTAAATTAACCGTTACAAAACATTGATTTTTTTTTTTTTGACTGACTCATAAAATCGCGTGCGGACTAGTAAATGTAAAGAGGCACTAGTCCGGCCAGACTAAAGCCTAAAAATGTTAGTGTCGAACCCTGATGTCCTTATATAAACATTCATTGGCCATTAATTAGGTTTTGAATCCTGTGTTAAATAATAATTCATGAATATATAACTGGGTTTATTTGTGCTTGAATTTGCAAACTAGTAAACTTAAAAGAACAACTTACTAGGGTATACTGAGCATGTACTATAATTAAGTATATGTCATATTTTGCAATGTTTGACAATATGTCTCTAACTTTTAAAATGCAGTGTCACAGAAAGATTTTCTTTTGAGGCAAGACATATTTTGGTGGGTTTTGTGTTGTTGACACAATGGAGTATCAGTTTTAATGTTTACTCTAATAATGAATATTGATTCAACACAATTGGGAATGAAATTCAATTTCCACATTATCCTTTAAACATTATCAGATTATCACCTGAACGTGTGTATATTTAGAAAAGATATTGCAAATCCCTGGTGATAGAGGGTTAGAAAGACCCTCCAATAGAGTCTCAGTTTGTTTTAAGCGAGTGCTTGATTTGGCAGAATTTTAATAATATCAGGCTTGGAATCACACAAAACTAGAACTGAGGACGTTTTTACCTGTAATACTTAGGAAGGAAAATTTGGCCAGCATCTTATATAAGGTGAAGGGTTTATTTATTTGGAGTGGTTTTATTTATCTTGAGTGGTTCCCACTGCAGAGGGAAGTTTTGTATGCATTGGTAATTATTGGTAAGAAATTTGGGGGGGGGGGGGGGGGAGGGGTATATTAAGTGATTGAAATGTTTCCATTTTTGCTATGTTATTACTTGTATACAAACATCATTGGATGATATTTTTATTTCATGCACTGAGCTACTTTTAAAATTCAGAAATTAGAATGTTTATTCATGTTGTATGTTAGAGTGTGTATTGAAATGATCAAAATTAATGGGTTAGGTTGATAATTGGTTTAAATGTACAGTATTATGACACTTAGCTGTTTATTGTCTGTATTTTTCAGGTTCTGGGTAGACAAAAGTGTTTTACAATGGGTGTGGCAGGGCCTATTTCTACAGATAGAATGTAAAAAGGTAATTTAAGTACCATTCTCATTGTTTACTTAAACTTTTTAATGTTTGGTAGTCATGCAGCTCAGGTTTGATGGTAAGTGTGTATCATTTATTTACTTTTCAAATTTTATTTAGAATTTTAGATGACAATTATAATTATGTATCTTTTGGGGAAAGTTAATTATTACATTCATTCTTTACTACAAGAAATCAAGTTATGCTATTTCATTTTATATTGATATCTACATTGTATTTCCAAAGTTAGAATATCCTTTTTATGTGGAATCAGTGTTATTTACTTATTACACCTATATATGAACCATTTATATAAATAATTTTTTTTTCATTTTTTTTTTTTAAGTGCAGAAGAAGACATATTGACCATTTCAAAACCAGCAACCAATCATCCACAAAGGTATCCGCAAACGTATCATTCTAAACCACTGAATACCATCATAAAATCTACCATACTTACCAGCTATAAAACCATTCACCAGATTCCAGTACCATACAACTTCGGTAAGTTAAGGTCCATGGAGAGCCATTAATTTTTAGCTCTACTGGTCAGAGACCAGAAGAGCTTATGCAATAGTAAAGTGTCAGTTGTCTGTATACAGGGTGTTTCAGAAAACATGCAACCATTTGCTTTCCTCACTGTATTGATATGCAAGCAGAAATATATAAAATTTTTAATTAAAGTTATAGAAAATAGGCTTAAAATTTTATTGATAACAAAAATTTTGGAAATAATTATCATTTAAATTAATTATGACGTCATATTTGACATCATCAAAAAACAGGTCATATCATTCTGAATATGTAATTTTTTAGCTCACCTGAGCCGAAGGCTCAAGTGAGCTTTTCTGATCACATTTTGTCCGTCGTCCGTCTGTCTGTCTGTCCGTCTGTCTGTAAACTTTTCACATTTTCGACTTCTTCTCCAGAACCACTGGGCCAATTTCAGCCAAACTTGCTACAAAGCATCCTTGGCTAAAGGGAATTCAAGTTTGTTCAAATGAAGGGCCACCCCCTCTTTCAATGGGAGATAATTAAGAATTTGTGAAAATTTGGTGGTATCTTTTAAAAATCTTCTTCTCAACAACCAATGGGCTGTAAAAGTTGAAACTTATGTGAGACCTTCATTACATAGTGTAGATTCAAGTTTGTTCAAATCATGACCCCCTGGGGTAGGGTGGGGCCACAATGGGGGGTCAAAGTTTTACATAGGAATATAAAGGAATAAATCTTTAAAAATCTTCTTCTCAAGAACAACAAAGCCACAATTAGTCATATTGATATGGAATCATCCTCAGGTTGTGCAGATTCAAATTTGTTCAAATCATGACCCCCGGGGGTAGGGTGGGGCCACAATGGGGAATCAAAGTTTTACAGAGGAATATATAGAAAAAAAACTTCTTCTCAAGAACAACAAAGCCACAATTAGTCATATTGATGTGAATTCATCCTCAGGTTGTGCAGATTCAAGTTTGTATCAAATCATGACCCCTGGGGATAGGATGGGGATAGGGTGGGACCACAGTGGGCGATCAAAGTTTTACATAGGAATATACAGAAAAAGAAACTTGAAAAATCTTCTTCTCAAGAACAACAAAGCCTTGTTAAGTCATATTGATATGGAAGCATTCTCAGATAGTGTAGATTTAACTTTGTTCGAATCATGACCCCCAGGGTTAGGGTGGGGCCACAATGGGGAATCAACATTTTAACAAGGGAATATATAGGAAAAAAATCTTTAAAAATCTTCTTCTCAAGAACAACAAAGCCACAATTAGTCATATTGATGTGGATTCATCCTCAGGTAGTGCAGATTCAAGTTTGTATCAAATCATGATCCCTTGGGATAGGGTGGGGCCACAGTGGGCATTCAAAGTTTTACATAGGAATATACAGAAAAAAAAACTTGAAAAATCTTCTTCTCAAGAACAGCAAAGCTTTGTTAAGTAATATTGAAATGGAAGCTTTCTCAGATAGTGTAGATTTAACTTTGTTTGAATCATGACCCCCAGGGTTAAGGTGGGGCCACAATGGGGGGTCAGTGTTTTACATAGGAATATATAGAAAAAAAATCTTTAAAAATCTTCTTCTCAAGAACAGCAAAGCCTTGTTAAGTCATATTGATATGGAAGCATTCTCAGATAGTGTAGATTTAACTTTGTTTGAATCATGACCCCCAGGGTTAGGGTGGGGCTACAATGGGGGGTCAACGTTTTACATAGGAATATATAGGAAAAAATCTTTTCAACAACAGAAAAATCTCCTTCTCAAGAACAGCAAAGCCTTGTTAAGTCATATTGATATGGAAGCATTCTCAGATAGTGTAGATTTAACTTTGTTCGAATCATGACCCCCCAGGGTTAGGGTGGGGCCACAATGGGGGATCAACGTTTTAACAAGCGAATATATAGGAAAAAAATCTTTAAAAATCTTCTGCTCAAGAACAGCAAAGCCATTTGTTATATTGATATGGAAGCATCCTCAGGTAGTTCAAAATCCAAGCCCTCCCCCCCTTTAAACTTTTTAATACTGAAGTGATTTGTGCTTTTTCCTAGCCATTGTGCTCAGGTGAGCGATGTGGCCCATGGGCCTCTTGTTTAATAAAGAGCAATCATCAGGAATTTTGACACTGTTTTATCAAAGCATGTCGCTAGTTCCTGTGATTACTTAGGACAATATAAATGGGTATCCAGAATGCAAAGAACTTAATAAAAAAGTTGAAGTTGTACAAAACTGCAAAAATTTTTGAATTTTGGAATGTAAATTATTAAAGAAAAGGAAAAATTGGAAGAACGAAAACAATAGAACACATGAAAACATTGAGAATGTTAGAGACATTGATTCAGGGACTTGCATATAATCCTTATGTAAAACAAGTGACCTTGTAAACGAATGCGACTCAAAAATGAAAAGTCAAGTGTACATGTATATTGGATTCTGAAATATGATTTGAATCTTACATATTTGAAATTTGTTTTCTGTTTGAAACAAATGTTTGGAGGACTATATTCTTCTCTGCCAAATCCCAAAATCATTTGACTTCGACATTCACCTCACTTAACCCCCCATGGCGTTTATTTTTTGGGACATTTAAAGGTTATAGTTTATAAAACACACCCCATCACAACACATGCACTAAAAATAGTTTTCAAAAAATGAGTCAAGGTTCATAATAAAGAAATTTGGTGCACTCGTTATGATTATGAAAAATTTCCTGCATCGATTACATTTATTCATTCACCAAACAATGACGTCATTTTGAACATATTTTGTAACTAGTTGAAATTTTAAAGATTTTCCTTATTCTTTTGTAACTCATTATCTATTTGCCGGAATAATTTTATTCTTACAAGAATAAATTTTGAAATTGTGCCTTTTAATTTAATATGTTAATGGATGGTTTTTGATGAAACACGAATAAAACGTAGTCAATCAAAATGGTTGCATGTTTTCAGAAACACCCTGTATGTCTGTCTGTAATCAATTTTTCAAAATGCTGCTCCTCCTACAGTTTTGATCTGATTTCAGTACAACTTGGTACAAAAGTAGAGCACACAAAGATACACAGTTCTTTGTATTTGTGTTAAATAAACGATGTTGCTCTGGTTATTCAAAATAGAAAGTTTGATGAAATTCTTTCATAAAGCTACTCCTCCTACAGTTTTGTCCGATTTCAATAGAACTTGGTACACAAGACTACACTAAGACACAGAATTCTGGTTATCAGTTTTTGATTTCAGTGAACGGTGTAACCATGGTTACTAAAAATAGAAATTTCTTGGAAGCCTAGAAGCAATAATTGTCAATGTTCATTTACTTGCCAAATAGAGGAAATGAAGTAATAGAATTTAGATCTAAAACTAGTTTGTATTTCATTAAAAAAAAAAAGAATTTGGATTTCCTGCAATGACCAAAAGCAAAAGTAGAGATGCCAAAAAGTATTAAATTCACATTTTATACTTTTATGAACAAAGTCAAAAGTTTTCATCCAGGTTCTGAATATTATCTCTCCCTTTTTCTTGGCAGGGATGTTGATGAAAGGACAAGATAGGCTAAGACCCCTTTTTGGCCCCTGGTTTGGGGTGTCTTTTAGAATGATGCAACAGTTTATCAATAAAACCTGTTGTCACCCCTACCACAAAATGAGTATTGGTTCTAAGTTTTGGGATGCACAGAGGTCACAGGAAGGTCACAAAATATGTCAATTTCCGAATTTTCTCATTTTTACGCAAATTTTACAGCAAATTTTGTTTCAGAAAACATAGAGCACAAGCTTGCCTATCTACCAAATTATATATTTCATACACTAGTATCAGATGCATCTTGTGCGCTTTGTTTTCCAAAGTGAAAAGTATCTCAAATTTGACGAAATTCCACCAGAATTAAGGAAATTAAGGAAAATGTCCTACTTCTGCACCCTCATGTGGCCTCGTGTAAGCTTTGAATTGAAATTAGTGCTGGTTTTAAAACGAGAATCATTTTAAATTCTTAACTACAAACTATCACAATTTTAACTGTTTTCCGATTTTTACATCAAATGAGGGGCCAAATTCGGCCGTTACCATACCTTGTCCTTTATCATAACTATAAATGTAATCACTGAGATATGTGCATTATGTTTTTGTCAAACACATGCTTGAAATCTGTGTACATAAGTGCCAAAAAAAAGCCTTTGTATGCTCCCAGTTCAAATGATGCAATATCTTAAAAATTAACAAGACTGGTTTCAAAAATGGCTAAGCAAGTGGACCAAAAATGAATTCTACAGGAAAGCTGTAGATTTTTGAATAAAAGCGGTAGATGGGAGATGGAGTAAAAAAAACGGTAGACTTCCGCCTTAAATGGTAACATGTATGCAAACACTCTTTGGTTACATTGGAGAGAAACTTAATGCTGGTAATTATGTAAAGAGAATTGATTGAAAGAAATTTTAGAACATGTTTGACAGAAAGTTACTTAATATAGGTAGTCACTAAGGCAGGTTTGACTATACCTAGTTGATTAAGAGACCAGCTTTTCTGTATTTATACTGTATCTTGGTATTTCATGTTTTGTAAGCTGCATTGATTAAAATTTCACATTTATCAAGAAATGTGGAATGTTGGTTTGGAAACAAAAGGTTGTTTGGGCTTATCGTGTACTTAACTGTATTTTTTATACTGATCAATAATCATATTCATGTAGATATCTACCTTTAATGGTCTCTCAGAAAAGTTTGGAAGATCAAAAGACTACTTCTTTGGAGCTTTAAGCCACAGGATAACTCCAGACTGTCATGTTGAGTAGGCCTGAAAAATGTCTGAATTTTCACATTGGGGGTATCAACTTTGTGGAATTCTTAAGAGAAGAGGAACACGCTTAGTTTCTTACGAAGTAGTGCAGTTTGTTTTGACACTACAGATAATGAGACATGTAATATAAAAATTGGGCCCAAGATATTATTGAAGATTCATGAGGGATTTTCTTTTATTGTCAAAGATAAGCTTGTGACAGTTTCAAAATTTATAGACCAGATCAGTTAGATTTTGTGTAGCATTTTCAAGATTCTTTGAGCCTTACACAAAAAATGGAATTTAATTCTCTCACAAAGATGCAGTCTCCTTGCCTTCCATCTTTAATTTGACAGCTTATCACTTTCAGCAAATGTTAAAGCACTGTTATTATTCGGCTAATATCTAACTTTCAGAATATGACATTATACTAACAAAAGAAATATCCATGACAAAAATTTGATTTGCTTTTTCTGTAAATAGAGAAAATATGATTCATTTATTAGCTTTCTTTTCCATGTGAGGGAGTTGTTTCTGTCAAGTTAAAAAAGAGACTTAATCATCAAGGATTTCTATACACTTCTTGGGTTCTTGTTTGTTTGGGGTAAAAAATGTAAAACGTAATTTTGATTTTGTCTGACTTTTAAAACTTATCATAATTTTGTATATACAAATGTATTACTGTTTTTATCATTGATCTAGTATAGTAAAGTGTTACAGATTTGTAAAAATTGTCCATGAAAGCAAAATAACCTATTGTGTTTGTTGTGTTTTTGAGTGTGAAAGACATTTATTTGACTTGAATTTATATTTCTCTACCATGCCAAATTGGTGCCAATAACCTTAGATTTACTCATCATGTATCTAACATCAGCAGCTCCTTAAAACATCAATGTCAAAGTACACTGGAGTTTTATCGAGTCCATTATATTTGTTTATGAAGATATTTACCTTAATGCGATGTAAGATGTACATGAGTAAGAAATAAGGGCTTCTGGATTTTCTGTCCCTCTGTCTGTCTGTCAGTCTTTCAAAATTTTAAGTGATACAAAAATGAGTCCTGCATTGAAAATAATTGTCAAATTAATAAAAACAAACCTTTTTAAAATTGTGGATACCTTTCATACACAAAAATTAATACATAAAATGGATGAATTCACACTTTTTCTCAATGTTCTTACTCGCTTCGAATTTACACACCATGTTGACATTTGAAACTCTTGGGATTGTTCATAGTATATGCACTGAGTAAGAGTTATCTCCTGTGTTTTCTTTGCTACATTGCTGATACACAGAGCGCATTCTATCATTATACTGGGTTCATAGGACATTTATCATAATCATATTATTTTAAAGATAGAACATTCTATCTAATGTTGGTAGTATTTTTATTTCCCAGATTATTTTGGAGGAATTTGCCATTGACCTGCTTATAGGTCGATATGGTTTTTTGCCAGAATCTGAAACCAATTTCTGATTAATTTTTATGCCCCTGTAATCGAAGATTCGGGGGTATATAGTTTTTGACCTGTCTGTTTGTCCGCAAAAACTTTAACATTACCCATAACTTTTGAATGGTTAGAGCTATGGCTTTCATATTTCACATGTGTATTCCTTGTGACAAGACCTTTCTTTCAGTACCATCATATTTGACCTTTTGACCTTGACCTTGGAGTTGACCCAGTTTTGCAAAATTTTTCCCATCTTTAACCTTGGCCATAATTTTTGAACAATTGGTGCTAGGGCTTTCATACTTCACATGTGTAATCCTTGTGACAAGACCTTCCTTTGGATACCAACAACTTTGACCATTTGACCTTGACCTAGGAGTTTGACCTACTTTAAAAAACTCTAACCTTGACCATAACTTTTGAACGGTAGGTGCTAGGGCTTTCATACTTCACATATGTAATCCTTGTGACAAGACCTATCGATGGATACCAATAACTTTGACCCTTTTGAGCTTGACCTACTTTTTACCCACTACCTTGAACCTAGTTTGACCTACTTTTAAAAAACTTTAACCTTGGCCATAACTTTTGAACGGTAGTTGCTAGGGCTTTCATACTTCACATATGTAATACTTGTGACAAGACCTTCCTTTGGATACCAACAACTTTGACCCTTTGACGTTGACCTAGGAGTTTGACCTACTTTTGAAAAAACTTTAACCTTGGCTATAACTTTTGAACAGTTGTTGCTAGGGCTTTCATACTTCACTTGTGTAATCCTTTTGACAAGACCTTCCTTTGGATACCAACAACTTTGACCCTTTGACCTTGACCTAGGAGTTTGACCTACTTTTGAAAAACTTTAACCTTGACTATAACTTTTGAATGATTGGTGCTATGGCTTTCATATTTCACATGTGTATTTCTTGTGAGAAGGCCTTTCCTTGGGCACCATTAATTTTGACCTTGACCTTGATGTTTGACTTACTTTTGAAAAACTTTAACCTTCTCCTTATCTAGAGCTTAAATGGTTGCTGTCGGGGCTTTCATATTTCACAGGAATATTCCTCGAGACAAGACCTTACTTTAGGTACCAACATATTTGATTTGCATTTTAGAAAGTTTAACCTCCACTATAAGTTGCCATACATGGGCATCAGTGTTTCACACACGCATTTCACTTTCTATTGCATTTCCTTGTCTTTCAAAGTATATTTTGGGGCATGACAACAATATTTAACAATTTTAACAGAAATAAGTTCATTTAAATTTGTATGCAGGTGTGTTATTTGCATGTGGTAACTTTAGATTTTCCTTTCCTGCTCCAGAGTTGGTACGATATAACTATGTTTTTCTCATCCAGAAAATTGCCCATTTCCAGGACTTACTTATAAGTCAGACATAGATTTTTGGATCAAAATTTAACTTCCAATAAATTTGACTTGTAGGAAAGTATATACACTACAAGACCATGTTTCACTTTTTCTTCAGGCACTTTTCAAAAGATCAAGGTCAAGAAGTCAAGACTGGCTATATAATTAAACTGGGACCCTGCTTGTCATTTTCTTGTTACATGTACTAAGATAACTGTTAAAAGGAATACACATGAGCTTCCAGTACATATGGAGGGAATACACCTCATCTGACCTTATAAATGTATAGATACAGGGAATTCACATGACCTATATATAAAAGGGAATGCACAACTTTTGAAAATTATGCATGTAAGTGGGTCTGAGTATGTTTTTGAGTTAGCTTAATAAAATGATTTCAGTAAGATACTTGGGTATGAAAAAATCTGGAGGTAAAACTGATTGAAATAAAGTGAAAGTGTATGATTTGAAGTCGATAATTTACTGCTCAAAAGTCTAATCTACCTCTTCCATGGGGCATTTCTTGCCAGCTTATCAGGTTTTTTTCACCTGATTAATTCATTTTTGCCATTAATTTGTTTGCCCTTTACAAAAGCTAGGAGTAAACATTCCATTTTGGTGCTGTTAAACATGTAGGTGCAATGCAAAAACTTTGTGACATTAATAAAACTTCAGGACCCCCTGCTTGGAGAGAATTGCAGTAAGACTTCATTTGTCATTATGTTTCAAGGTTGAAATTCGCATTTTTTCCCTTTAATTATTGTATGTTGAAAAAAGTAAAGCAGTTTTAATCATATATTTTAATAATTTTGTAAGGGTGTTTGGGGGTGGGGCAAAGCCTTAGTTTGTATTTATCATTTGTTATAATAGTAATTATACAGTATAATTATAAAATATTTATCAAACTTTGTAGAATTCATAAATAAGAGTACAGTGCTACCTCGGTATATTGCCCCCCGTTATATTGCCACCCCCGCTTATTGCCAAGAAATCTCCAAGAACGGATTTCCCCCTGTGTTAATACACCCGTTATATTGCCACCCCTGCTTATTGCCATCCGCCACTGTGTTTGAGAAACAAATAGTCAAATTATCTAAGGTAAACCCTCGATAACAATGCCAATTACCTAGCACGTGTCGGTGAATTAGACATCATAGCGGACGGTGCTTTGACAGTGGTTTTGGTGAAGGGTGACTGGCTGGACATGGAATTCAGGTAAATTAAAGATAATTGTTGAATAAAACTCAAAATAAACATAAGTCTTTGGTGTTGTTTTTTAAAAGATAGCAGTGTTATTTCAATTAATAATGGAAACACCAGGCAAGAGGAAACGCACAACTTTAGATTACGAAAAAAAACAAATAATTGTGCAATATTCTAAGTTGCACCCAAAATCGAGCCAGCAGGAATTGGCAAACCATTTCACCGCTCTTTGGAATATTGATGTAAAAAGACGGACAGTTGGTGAGATTCTGACAAAGTCAAGTCAATTTGAAAATGTCGACTGTGAAGGTACACCGCCGAGAAAACGTCATAGAAGTGCTCATTATGCTGATATGGAATCAGCTTTATTTATGTGGTTTTCTAATGCGAGGGCACAAAACATACCAATTTCTGTAGAAATACTAAAAACTAAGGCTAAACAATTTGGAACAGAAATGGGTATTACTGGATTTTCTTATTCAAACGGTTGGCTATCGAGGTTCAAGATGCGTCATGGGATTTCCTCACAAATCATTTCTGGGGAAAGTGCTGGTGTTGACCCTCAATTAATTTCAGATGGTAGACAAAAAGCTGCAAGTGTTATTAAAAATTATGAATTAAAAAATGTGTTCAATATTGACGAAACTGGTTTATTTTATCGTCTCCTTCCGGATAGATCATTAACGACTGCAGATGCGACAAAAGGTGTGAAAAAAATTAAAGATAGAATAACTATCGCGCTTTGCTGCAATGCCGATGGCAGTGAAAAATTAAAACCATTTGTTATTGGAAAGGCGGGAAATCCTCGTTGTTTTAAAAATTTCAATGTTGGACTTTACTGTGACTATGTACATAATAAAAAAGCTTGGATGACATCAGTAATTTTTTCCGATTGGCTTCAAAAATTCAACAGTAAAATGAGACGACAAAACCGCGAAGTCTTGCTTATAATGGATAATGCACCCAGTCATATTATCCCAGCCCTTTCAAATGTGAAAATTCATTTTCTTCCTCCAACAACAACCAGTCACCTACAACCGCTTGATTCAGGAATTATACAGAGTTTTAAAAAACATTACAGAAAACAACAGTTGTCTCACTTGATAAAGTGTATCGATCGAAGGGAAACACCGTCCCTATTTTTAGACTCTGCTATTCGATACGTGAAAATTGCTTGGGATTCCGTAACCAGTGAGACTATTATTAATTGTTGGACTCATAGTGGGTTGATCAAGAAACCTGAAGGAATAACAGAATCTGACGACAGTACTCAGGGTACTAGCGAACTTGAAAATATGTTACAACGGGTTCAGGAGGATTTAGAAATGGACCCAGACATGAGACTTACTATTCAACAATTCATCGATTCAGATCGTGACGCCAACCCGACCGAAGTTTTAACTGACTCTGAAATTCTGGAGACAGTAAAAAAACCTACTTCCGAATCAGAATCTGACGACAGTGACAATGAACCTAAAAATATTTATATACCGTCAATGTCAGAAGCTAAAACTGGTATCGACAACATTCTTAAGTTCTTGGAGCATGACGAGAGAACGACAGAACAAGAAATTAATAAGTGTTTGAGTATTCAGACATATTTATTTCAACTGAGTCAAAACTCTAGCAAACAAAGAACAATTAGTGACTTTTTCAAAAAGAAATGAATGTCGCGTTCTGTACTTTTTGTAAACACACGTAACATAAACAAAATGTAACAAAATAAAGTGTGTATATATATTGATTTTGTTTTGATAGTCTACAATTGTAATTTTTGGAAGAACTCGTTATATTGCCACCCTCGCTTTAATGCCAAAATCTGTCTTGAACAAAAGTTGGCAATATATCGAGGTAGCACTGTATATACAATTTAAAAATATGGTACCAGGTATTTTCTTATCCATTTGACAAAATTTCAACAAAAAGATTTGACTTTCTTAAGATTTATTTGTATGTAACATCGTTGATTTGAATAAGAGGATGAAATTCTTGTCATAACAAAAAACTTTAAAGGTTCATACTTGATACAGTTTTAGCTTATGACCAGGGTTATATGCAAGTTTGTTTTCAGCAATATGCTTTTTTTCACCTGTATTTAAACAACTTTTTTTAGTATAATTTTTGACAAGGGGTTATGAAAAAATTTCCACATGCAAACATCTTAACCTATAAAGTAAAGGTCAAGGTCATAATTAGGTCAAGATTATTGATTTAACAATACTTTGGAGCTCTGAACGACTTTCAGATTTCAGGGGTTTTTTTTGGGGGGGGGGGGGGGTGGTTGAGGTTGAGTGTTGTGTGCATATTATGTGTAAGCTATGTTTTCAAATATACCTAGAGCAAAGAGACAACTTAATTCAAATTTTGATCTTGCTTGCACTCCAGTCACAGAGGTGATTTTGCCAATATCTGATACACATTGTAAATTACTAGTTGTACCAAATAGGACAGTTATGTCGCCTTTCAATTCATCTTCTGACATGTTTTTGATTTTCAAGTTTCATCTTGATTAAATTCAAATTTCATAAGATGTGCAATTTAAACTTTCAGGTATTATTGTAAAAAAAGATGGCATTGTTATAGGATCAGGCTTAAAGAATTCAATCTGGGTTGTCACATTAATTCCTCTGCATGTATAAGTTCTCCAATTAAATTCTAATCAAATTCAACAATCTCTAGGGGGTATGGAATGGTTGTATTGTTATGAGTTAAAGTGTAACCCCCCATGATCGTAGTCTGCAACTGACAGCTTGTGATAATTGTTTATTTCTTATTATGAGCCGGGTTTTCTGTATGTGCAATGGTGTATATTTAAAAGGTCTACATATAAATGACCCACACAAAAACATTTATAGGGGGTACTTGTGTGCGAAATATGTAATCAATTCCCTAGGAGGTATCAAAGAGGTTTAATTAAAGATTCAAATAAATCGTGAAATTTAAATGCAAATGTGCTCAAAAGTTTTACTATAATGAAATATTTTCTGAAAGTTTAACAGTAATATTTTCTTTGAATAGACGTAAATTGATGCATTTCACAGAATAATTATTTTGTAGTAATTTTTCGTACAAGTTTACCCCCCATAGAGGAGCCCTTAGCCACACTTGATTTGGATTTGATAGGTAGATAAATGGTTAAGCATATCTTTTTATATCTCTTCACACATTTCATGACAATATTGGGGTATAAATCAGTGTGCCAGTAAGAAGCCAGTATTGGTAAGGAAGAACTTTTGAACTTGACTTCTAGTTTAACCTAAATTTTCTTTAAGTAAACTTGCTATTTATGATAATCAAAACTTGCAGTTTAGATTTAATGTCTTTATATATTGTGCATTTCATTGAAGAACAAACTCTCTCTCTCTCTCTCTCTCTCAGGAAAACAACATAACCAGTATTAAGGTTGATGATGTCAAATACAATATACATGTACTGTATTAATCTTTCTGAACAGTGATGGTATGATGAATTATGTACTTTAGTGAATTGAGAAAAGAAGAGCTTAAGTAAATAGTACAATGGAATAGCATGTTTCTCTCTTGTTTTATACTGTATACATACTTTTTTCTGCATGGGATTAATTTTGGCTATGTACACAGTCACAAATTTTCCATGGAAATTTGTCACAGTGTACATAAAGTGTATTTAAGACATACAAAGGCAGTCCAAGTAATCCGCATAATTTTCTCCCTCCCGATTGAACCAATATTGTGATTCCGAAGAATTATGACCTCGTGAAAAAAAGTATGTTTACAGTATATTATGTCAGATCTGGGTCATACTGTAGAGTGATGATCATTTATTTTTTGTGTGACTGCCATTGACATACTGGTGAGTTTAATGGTAATTTTTTTCTGATTTTATGAAATTAAATTAATGGATGAATCAATACAGTATAGTTAATATAATTAATTAATATTAAATAAATAATTAATATAATGTGGTAGTCATAATATGTTTCATGGATTAGTTAGCTCACCTGAGTAAAAGTCCTCTATTAATGGCATATGTATGCCAGGAATAATCCACTGGTCCTATTCTGACAAAATCTTTTTGAAATAAAGGGATTTGAGATGATTCAAATGAAGGTCTGGCCCTTCGTCTTCCAAGGGGAGATGCAGGCAAACCTCAATATCAATATAAAGTGCAAAAAAAAGATCATTTAACCCTATGCCAAGAGAGGTAACTATAACATTTTCTATTTCTCAAATGTTCATCTTTAACAATGAATTTTATCAAATTAAGTTTCACCGGATAATTTGTTTGAATATCACTTTTGTCATTATCTTCTGGCAGAAAATTTTAAAATTACCGAAAAATTCCAAATTAGTAATCAAGAGGTTCCATATTGGTTGTAGCACAGGTAATTAATCCTTGCAAAAGCTATTAGATTTCTGAAGATCGAGATAGAGTCTGTATATGATCTATAAGATAACCCTGTGTATTATAGTGTAAAGATGTAAGAGTATGTTGAATGTATTTCTCTAAGATCTACCTGTTTGAATACCTTGTATTGATACCAGTGTTATTCCAATCATCAATAATAATTGAAAATCAGTCAAATCTTGGTAGATTCTAAGTGCTCAATGAAAGAAAAATGTTACTTCAATTAATTGGTTCTTCATTTTTATCAATGAGTACTATTTTTGGAATGCAAGTTTTCAGCCACAACCTGTCCAATATCCTATAGAGGGGCTCGGTATAAAATGTTAAGTATAAACATGGATATAGTGAATTTACGGATATAGCGAAGGTTTCTGGTTTCTCCAGCCAATTTCTTAACAATTCTTTGCAAAGTTTTATTGTTAAAGCAAACTCTAATATAGCATATTCATTTGGTGTCCAGTAGAGTTAAAAAATTACAAAAGAGCTATATGTGGTATATGCATATTTTTTTCTCCCATAAAAGTCAATTTTGAAAATTTCTTGAAATGTGCTGAATTGTATACATTAAATGAAAAATCTAAATAAACAAAAAATATAGTTTCAAGGTAGGTTATTGACAATTTTTGGTTTTATGACGTCACAAACTATTTGGATTTTGTATTATTTCTCAGAAAGAAGAAATTATGGACAAAATTTTTACTATAAAATTTATAGTGGGCAGACCTGCTCCAGAACGCTATTCAAATATTTCTTTGAATTATAATATCATTCTACACATTATATCAAAACATTGAGTTGGAGCAGACCTGTGCTAGGTGACTCAAAATATCATATCTAACATATGGCATCATGGCTAATGAAAAATATTCAGTGCTTTGAAGTCTGCAGATATCCCCCTGTTTTAAAACATTATCATATATTTCTTTGTCAAAGTTTGATTTTGGGGGCAAATATTGGTCATTACTAAAGATTGTCCTTTACATACTTTACAATGAATTTTTTCTGATATCAAAATTTTAAATATTGAATTGACACTTTTTTATATCCGCCACTTGAAAAGCGGGGGTAAATAGTGATGAAGGTGCCTGTCCATCTGTCTGTACGTCCGTCCGTTACGCTTTGGGGTACACATCTCTTATCCACAACTCCTCTCAGACCACTGAATGAAATTTAATGATACTTTCACAGAATATTTGTTATGTAGTACTATTGTGCACCTCCTATTTATCTTCCTATAATATTAAGGGGTACCCATCTCTTATCCGCAACTCCTCATATACCAATGAATAAAATTCAATGATACTTTCACAGAATCTTTGTTACATAGTGCCATTGTGCATCTCCTATTTTATTTTTTGATCGGACACATATTTTGGGGCTGCCATAGCAAAAAATGGACTTTGGCATTATAAACATATGGGATGCGTGGGGTATCATTTTGTGAGTTCACGGCTTGGCCAAGATCATGTGCCCATGTTGGTTGCAGATTAACCAAAAAATGAAGTCAAATTAATCGTATTATAAGTACGTTCTATGAAACACTACATCCTTTTTGCAGATCGTCAGAAATTTTTGTCCATTTCTGTCAAGCGGTTAAAAAGATTTCACTCTTACTATAGCAGAGACCCAAGTGGGCTACGGACTATACATATTCAGGCATAACATTTATCTTTATGATATTCAACTAAACAAAAAAAGTATAATTCAAATACAAACTCTTCACAAAATATTGTCTGAGCAAAAAAATCACATAATTCATTTCCATCAAAAATGTTACGGTAGATAAAGGACATGGGTAAATTTATTAATCTGTGGGAGTTTTTCTACTCTTTAATATTTAGACATTTAAAGTAAAAGTACATTAAGTACTTTCAATTTTTCTAAAGATACTGTATATGGGGATGAAAATTTCAAACTTATTTGGTAATACTCAGAGAAAAACTGTGTCAGATATTTTTTGATTGACAATTTTGAGACCCCGGGCTACGGACTATACATATTATAGCATTTTTCATTTATTGAGAGACCATAGAAATATAAATGTTTGTATCAGTAAATATTTGTTAAAATTATCATCATGGAGTTCACACATGTTTAATAAATCCTTTTGTTTGGATATTGAATCAATTTTACAAAAATACTGTAAAATTTAACAAAATAAAACAAAAACTTCAAATAAATTCACAAATATGAATTGTCAAAACAAAATAATACATGTCAGAATTCAGAATTACACGTAACTGGTGTTTTGATAAAAAAAAAAAAATATATATATATAGTTAAAGACCAAGAATGAGCTTTAATTTAGCATCTATGAGGCTGAATTTCAAGTGAGCACTGGGGCTACGGACTATACTGTTAAACATCTCTATTGTGGACAATCAACTTAAAGTTAATATAATTGTATAATCAAATTTGTGGCAATTTGTTTAATTATTTGGTATTCTATAACAGTTCACGCCACTTAGTTACCATATTTAAAAATCAATTGTCTCATGTACTGTGTACTTTCAACGCCAAATGAAATTCCGGTTCAACTAATTAAAGCATTATTGGTGTTCAAACTATAATGAATAAAAGCAAGAGGAGCTGTATTTATGTCCAGGTATGATTTTTTGGGGGGAGGTTACAGACTATATTGCTCCATTTTTTTTTTTTAATTTTATTTTAATGTAATACATAGAGCTCAAGGTAGTCATTCGAAAGGTGTATCGGTATATAATTTATCATGATCATATGGTGTAATTCATAAAAAATTACAAAATGATTGACTATTTGAAGTAAAAATACAGTGGAGCCTGGTTTATCCAGACAATTTGGTTCCCAGTTAAAATCGTCCAGATACTATAGACAGCAAATTTTGGCAACACCTTATTTTTGCGCAATGGTCATTTGGTATTTATAAGCAAGACATAATTTTCATGAACTTTGGTTAGTGTTATATATAATCTTTAGTACTAGAAATAGACGTGAGAATTGAATTTTTGCAAGCAGGTAATTATACGAAAATAAAGTTCTCACAGAATTCAATGTAAAATGATTTACAGTAAGTGAAGCATCCAGATACTTGTAGCTCTTTTCACAAAAAATCTTAAGTTTTTGCATAAGATTTTAACTTAAGGAGGTTGGATCCTGCCATCAAAAGTAATGAGAATTTTTTATCAAGTATATTTTTATAATTTATACACATAGCTTTATTAAAAATCAAAACAAAAAATGGGGGTCAATGCGCTTCTTTTGGCGCTACAGAGCATTTAGTTTGACCTTTTTGCACTGTAAATACGTCTTACACATAAATCAATTTTTAAAGTTTTTCCTTCAATATTTTTTGTTCAAATAAATTATGGTGAACAAACACAGTCTTATTTCATCTTAAATAGACACATTAAAATTTGTAACAACGAAGAAATTTTTGAATTACTCCGCCTGTTCAATTATTTGACCTTTTTGCACTCAAACATTTTCATTTTTCTGGTATTAAAATTTAACAAGCAAAAAAAATCATTTGAAAGTAATGACATTTTACTGAATTTAAGAAGAATGATTAAAAGTATCGTATATATTCAGAAAAGAAAATTAAAAGTGGGGGTCTGTGATGTTAATTTTTAAATATTACTAAAATAGTGCTAATTTTAAGCTTAAATTAGGGCTATTTTTTTTCTTCATTTCCACAATATATTTGCTTTATTTATCAAATATGATGATAGAATTCATGACAGTTTTTTTAATGGATAATTTAGGACCAGTATAAAACAGTCCACTGCACAAAAGAACTATGTGTGCAGACTACATGTAAAAATAGGAATCCAAACTTAACATACTTTTAATTCTTCGAAAGAGAAAAAATGATCATTTTCTTCTAAAAATCCTTCCGCCACAAAATATAGTTCCTCACTTAATGCTTTTGGTATGGAATTTAATCATGGAGTTTTAACTGAATATAGTTAAATTGGCATTGTAGAATCCAAATTTATTGTAAGAATTAAAACATTATGCAGAATTTTTGAAATATAGGTTAAGATAAGAATCTGCTCAAAAGCTCAGGAGCGAACCTCGTTAAGAATCTCTTATGACATATGTTAAGTGCGTTTCACGAACACATTCGTAGCAGATTGAACTTAAGATTTTACTTACGACAGATTTCATCCCTAGCAACGACTTATTATGCTTTATAATCCTTAAAAAAGTGGGTGAAATAAAAAAATAAAACTTAGTTTTCAACATTTTTCAGCATAACAAACATTATTGACAACAAATATCGAATCCAATCGTTTGTGAAGCAAGGAAGTTTAAAATGTGACGTCATAGTCATAAGTCTGACGTAAAAGTAGGTCATACGAAAATCTTACCCGGTAAGTGAAACGTACATTGTAAATATTAAGTAGTGTATTTCATTTAAGTTTTCGACAATGATTGTGAAAAAAATATAAAATAATATTGTAAGTTGTTTTACAAAGTTCAATTTAACATGTATTTTGGTTTTTGCAGTTATATTTTTACAATAAAATCGGTTTTAAAATACTTGAGAGAGGGTTGGGGCTCTCATAAAGTTACGACAGATTTTGCACTTACGACTTTCTTAAGAATTTTTGTGAAAATGATTTTTATCATAAGTTTTCATTTAAGATAAAAATATGTCGTAAGATTTTTTTTGAAAAGATCCACAGAATTGCATTAATTTTAACTGCATGTTTATGCTGCAATGTGCATAACATTAACGTTTTATCGTACGTGTAAAGTACTTTAATGTACATTAGCATATTTACATAACACTAATTAAAATAAAACTAATAGTACATTTGATGTAATGTTTATCAGCTATTATTTATAAGGTCATGTTAATAATTGCCCAAGCTAATTCCTATTTGCCATTTTCTAATGACTAAACCTTGTGGTAGAGCTCTGAATCTACCCAAGAAAGCTGTCAATGGAGTCTCAATCAACCATGCTATATATGACATAAACTACACCAAAAACGCTTATCATCCAATGCAAGATTGCATTAGTGTTTGTGTAAATTTGAATCAATTAAGTTATTCATTAAATGTGGTTTCATAAATGTCATTAAATTACAAAATATAAGTTTCTGTCTATATGATTAATAATACCCAACTATTTTCACATAGTGTTCTAAGGATTTATATAGTGTAAGAATACTATGCCGAAAGAAGGCTTCTTTTGTCTGAAGAAAATCTGACAGCGGTCTGAGGCGCTACTGATTATGCCATATAAGCTGTTACTTGATACAGTTTATTTTAATGTATATAAACATAGTTTCAAATATATATGACACTTAAAGGAAAAACAAAAATAATTTTTCCAAAATAATGCCATGTAAACTTTTTTTTTTCTGTACTCTACTAAAATTCTATAAAACTATCTGTATGATATACATAACTGCATGAAACACACACAAATAATATGACTTATCACAATGTGAAGTCATAATAGGGGTGTACTAACATGTTGAGAACCAAAAAAAAAAAAAAAATCACTGAGGGGTAATGAAATATTCAAACAAATTTTGTACTTATTTTTATTACACTTTACACATCATTTCACGAAGTAAGTCCATGGAATAATGAAAATGCTTGTTTGTATAAAACTTAATGCAGGAATTTACAGAAAAAATATTAAATTAATGAGATTTGATGTCTGCACACAGGGATTTATTTAAATTGTGGTTTTCTTACAAGAGTCAGCATAAGAATAATGATAGTGTTGTGCTTTGCATATACTATGCCTAAATAGTAGTCAGGGCCTAACACATAGTACATTCGCCTCCGGCTTGTGCACCATGTGTCAAACCCTGACTACTACTTATAGTATTAGGCATAGTACATGCAAAGCCTCCGGCTCGTGCACCTTGTGTCAAACCCTGACTACTACTAATAGTATTTAGGCATAGTACATGCAAAGCACAACACTATTATAAGCTCACCTTAGCTGAAAGCTCAAGTGAGCTTTTCTGATCACCTGTTGTCCGTCTTCCGTCCATTCATCTGTTTGTCCATCTGTAAACTTCTTACATTTCAACTTCTTCTCAAGAACCACTGGGCAAATTTTAACCAAAGTTGGTACAGCCCAAAAGCATCCTTGGGAAAAGGGGAGTTTAAATTGTTGAAATGAAGGACCAAGCCCCCTTACAAGGGGAGATAATTAAGAAAAAACAAAAATAGGGTGGGGTCATAAAAAAATCTTCCTCTCAACAACCACTGGCCCAGAAAAACTGAAACTTATGTGGAAGCTTCCTGGGGTAGTGTAAATTCTGAATTGTTCAAATCATGACCCCCAGGGGTAGGGTGGGGGTCATAATAGGGAATTAAAGTTTTACATTGAAATTTATAGGAATAAATCTTTAAAAATTTTCTTCTCAAGAACCATTGAGCCAGAAAAGCTGAAACTTTTGTGGAGGCATCCTGGGATAGTGTAGATTCTAAATTGTTCAAAACATGACCCCCAGGGATAGGATGGGGCCATAATAAGTATTACAAGGGGGAATCTGGTGAAGAACAGCAGGGCCTAAGGCCTAAGGTACTCAGGTGAGTGTATGGCATATGGACCTCTTGTATAGTTAGGGATCAGACACTTAGTGAATGGCATTTTAGGAGATTGCTTGGAGATTAATTAGTAAGTGAGTGGGCTCATACCATTTACCTTACTCGGGAATGATTAAGAAACATGGTGATGCAAGGGTTTGGGCTTTCCAAGGGTTAGATCTTTAAGAAATCTTATTGGAAGATATTTCTCCAAACGTCATGTGTCTGTATTCATATATAAATCAATTAACACTTCTGAATGCCATTGTATCAAATGAGGTATATTGAACTTCAGAAAATGAGGATAGTGACCTAGTTTACTTGCTAAGCAAGGTGACCAGCCTGAACAAAACTGGGCAGTAGGGTATATGAAAACTGTGAAATATAAGTGATAATTGACAATAAAGTATGTCATTATATATATTTTTGTAGGTGAACCATGCAGAATTATTCCGCATCCTGACGAGAGACCTGGTGCATACCTGAGTAATAATCATGAAGTCAGAGGTATGATTTATTTCATCATTTTTAATTTGGGGGGAATTATTTCAGAATCATAATTTATAAGTTATCATGCAAAGTTTAAAAAATAAAATTTATTTGAATTGCAAATTGCTATTTTTTTTTTTTTTTTTTTTTTTTTTTTTGTCAAAAAAAAAAAGTGTGAAACAAAAACTTTTAAATGCATAAGCTAAGATTTTGTTTTCCTGACTCTAAATATTTTTTTTTTTTTTTAATTTTTTTTTTTAAAAAACCAATAAGGGTATATACGCATAGACTATCAAAAAATATTTAATTTATGGAGACATTTAGATTAATGATCTAATTTCCAAAAAATGATAGAATCATAAAATTGATAGAGGAATTCCGTCGGCTGAAAGATTCAGCATGTCTGTTCTTAAGACATTGGTTGTAAAGGGAATGTATGATTAAAAGTGGGTTTTAAGTCACCTGGGTAGGAAATTGCGGCCTGAGTATCGCAGATGATTCACAGTATGAAACTGACACATGATACAACTCTGTTTCACGATACAATTATAAGTACAATATAATGAATTCCATTTTGCAGAATAAAAAATGACATAACATGTAATTTATGATTAAAAACAAATTGTGAAATTTTGATTACCTGATAAGTAACTAAAGAAACAGATGAGTTTCTAATTTCAATACTTGTGTCTAAAATTTCATTAGCCACTACGCTTATGGATGCCATTTTGTTTACCAAGTTATTGTAAAGTTAAAAAAGGCACTTCCTTTATCCCGATTTTGGAATGACGATAGGATATGCATATAGTATAGACACACAATCAATACTGTACAATTGATATATTGCTGTATCGTTACAACTCTAAAAGGAATGTATGGATTCCGAAGCATTGTTCTCTTATTATTAGTTTTCCATTGATTGCCACATAAACTTAATTTTTAGATTCTCATCTTAATTTTCCAAAAACGGTGCAATTGAGTATATTTTTCAATTATACTTGATATTAACAATATTTTTTTTTTTTTTGTAAATGCCTTGTTTTTAGGGCCTTTCAGGGATTTGTGCCTCTCTAATATCACTCTTTCTGTCTCCCTATCACTTACTATTTTCTTTGTTATTTTGTCCATCCGTAAATTTTCTTTTTTTTAAAAGCACCTTTTTATGACTGTCCTTTTATGTTCAAATTTGCTATTTTAAATAATTAATAGAAAAAAAAACATTCGTTGAATCAGTTAAAGTTTGAATCTGTTTGCCATTTGATTGAGGGCTGGGATGATGGGAAAGATTCCTAACTTCACATAAAAATGAATTTATATACAAAACAAAGCAAGGTTTAAGTGTTCTGTTGGTGTAATACCTATCATTCTTCAGTAACACAAATAAAACACCTGAACACATTGAAACTAATAAAGGAAAATGTACATACCAATGATTATTCATGATATTTTGGCATTCTGAGGGCTACCCATTACTTCCTCACACTTTTCATTCCAAAACAAAAGGAACAACCAAATATAATTGTCACTCAGAGCTAATCCATGGAGCACAAGAGCCAAAATCATACCTAGGGTTGATCCCTAAAGGCCTGAACACATCAGTACTCTGAGCTGATCCCAGGAGTGCATAATGCCTAGGACTGATCCCAGCAGGCTATAAAAACAAAACTAACTTCCAGGCTGATCCCAGGAGGATACTTAACAAGATGCAAAGCCTAGGGTTGATCCCTAAAGGCATGAACATACCACTCTGGGCTGATCCCAGGAATGTTATAATGCCTGGGACAAAAGAAGACAAACCTCCCAACTGATTCCAGGAGGCTTTACTCATCAAGATTTAATGCTTGGGGCTGATCCCTAAAAGCACAGACACACCAAACACTCTGGCTTAATCCTAGGAAAGCATAATAATGGGGGCTGATCCCAGCAGGTCACAAAACTCTGAACTGTTCCCAGAAGCATACAAGCTATCGCTAACACTGCAGCTGGGGTTGATCCCTGCAGGCACTAGACAGATTCTCTAGGCTGATCCCACTTGTGCATACAATATAATACAATGTACTGCACTATATGACCTACATATCTAGACAAAAATAATCTACACTACACATAGGAAAAAAATAAGTAGTTCTGGGGGCAAAATTCCCTAGAACACCAAGTGAATGAAGTAATGAGTGAAAACCCCAAGAGTATGAATATAAATGATTTCTGAAAACTTTACCATTGTAAACTCGGTTCAAAAAGATCAAAGCTGCAATCTGTCCCTTGGGATTAATAATCTTGCCTGCTGCAGAGGACTTGGAGCCTAATCTTTATCTCTTTACACATTAAATAAAAGTAATTAAAACCTCTGTCTTAAAGTGAAGTTGTTTTAAAGTAAAGATCAAGTCTGGATGACATTTACAGTACATTCACTAAAGGTTGGCATTTTATAATTACAAACATCATTTTGGTTGGGTGCCCTATGTTATATGACATTAATCCTTCCTTAAAGTTCATGACCTTGGAAACGTTTTGATTATCAAGATAACATGATCTCATCCTTGTTAATTAAATCAACCCTTGCATGCCTCAGCTGCACCTTTGCTGACTGGTCAGTTTTTAGCTCTACTGGTCGGAGACCAGAAGAGCTTATGCGATAGTAAGGTGTCCGTTGTCCGTCCGTCTGTCTGTCTGTCCATCCGTCTGTAAACAATTTTTCAAAATGCTACTCCTCCTACAGTTTTAGTCTGATTTCAATATTACTTGGCACACAAGTAGACTACACTAAGATACATAATTCTGTGTATCGGTTTTTGATTTCGATGAACGGTGTTGCCATAGTTACTAAAAATAGAAATTTCTGTGAAAAACATTCAAAATACTACTCCTCCTACAGTTTTGATCTGATTTCAATATAACTTGGCACACAAGTAGACTATACTAAGATGCATAATTCTTTGTATCGGTTTTTGATTTCGATGAATGTTGTTGCCATGGTTACTAAAAATAGAAATTTCTGCAAAATACTTTCAAAATGCTACTCCTCCTACAGTTTTGATCTGATTTCAATATAACTTGGCACACAAGTAGACTATACTAAGATGCATAATTCTATAAATCGGTTTTTGATTTCAATGAACGATGTTGCCATGGTTACTAAAAATAGAAATTTCTGTGAAATACTTTCAAAAATGCTACTCCTCCTACAGATTTGATCTGATTTCAATATAACTTGGCACACAAGTAGACTATAATAAGATACATAATTCTGTGTATCGGTTTTTGATTTCAATGAATGATGTTGCCATGGTTACTAAAAATAGAAATTTCTGTGAAATACTTTCAAAATGCTACTTCTCTTACAGTTTTGGTCTGATTTCAGTATAACTTGGCAAACAAGTAGACTACACTAAGATACATAATTCTTTATATTGATTTTCTGATTTCGATGAATGTTGTTGCCATGGTTACTAAATATAGAAATTTCCTTGAAATACCTTCAAAATGCTACTCCTCCTACAGTTTTGATCTGATTTCAATATAACTTGGCACACAAGTAGACTATACTAAGATGCATAATTCTATAAATCGGTTTTTGATTTCAATGAACGATGTTGCCATGGTTACTAAAAATAGAAATTTCTGTGAAATACTTTCAAAAATGCTACTCCTCCTACAGTTTTTATCTGATTTCAATATAACTTGGCACACAAGTAGACTATAATAAGATACATGATTCTGTGTATCGGTTTTTGATTTCAATGAACGGTGTTGCCATGGTTACTAAAAATAGAAATTTCTGTGAAATACTTTCAAAATGCTACTCCTCTTACAGTTTTGGTCTGATTTCAGTATAACTTGGCAAACAAGTAGACTACACTAAGATACATAATTCTTTATATTGATTTTCTGATTTAGATGAACATTGTTGCCATGGTTACTAAAAATAGAAATTTCCTTGAAATACCTTCAAAATGCTACCCCTACAGTTTTGGTCTGATTTTAGTATTCTTTAGCACACAAGTAAACTACACGAAGATACATAATTCTCTGTACCAGTTTCAAATTTCGATGAACAGTGTTGCCATGGTTACTAAAAATAAAATTTTTCTTGAAATACTTTCAAAATGCTACTCCTCATACAGTTTTTGTCTGATTTCAGTATAATGTGGCATACAAGTAGACTACAGAGATACCTAATTGGTGTTATTGTTTTTTGATTTTTGTTGAATGATGTTGCCATGGTTACTTAAATCAAAATTTCTGTAAAATTGTTTTAAAAGGCTACTCCTCCTACAGTTTTTGTCTGATATGATAATAAATCTTGCCACAAAAGAGACTAAACCAAGGATCATTATTCTATTTATTGCTGTTACAAAGTTTCAAGTCCAAGTGCTACTTTTATCTTCCTTTATAAATACAACCAGTAGAGCTACAGTCTCGTCAGAGACTTCTGGTTTTTATTTTGTTGAATGATGCTGCCATGGCTACTAAAATAGAAATTTCTGTAAAATTCTTTTAAAAGGCTACTTCTCCTACAGTTTTAGTCTGATAGCATAGATCTTAATGATACAAAAATCTCCATAAAACAAAAAGAGACTTCACCAAGGATCATTATTTTATGTATTGCTGTTACAAAGTTTCAAGTCCAAGTGCTACTTTTATCTTCTATTTTTATAAGTACAAACCAGTAGAGCTACAGTCTCGTCAGAGACTTCTAGTTTAGTTTAATTATCATGCACAGATCTAGAGGGGGATCTGGACCCCCTGGTATTTGCAGTTATTAAAAGTATATACTGAAGCAAATAAAAAATGACTTTGGACCCCCCCCCCCCCCCCCCCCCAAAAAAGTGGACCTACCACCACCAAAATAGGTTTTTTCCACGTTTGGGAAATGGATTTTACATGAATTTGTTGTCGGATGATAGGTCTGTAGAGACAACTATAAAAGGTTGGGAGGTGGGTAAAATATACAGGTTGGTTATAGAATATGTCTAGAATAAGGGAATGTAGGGTTATTGATTGGCCAATGCTGGAAAGTGGAGAAATACATCCCCAAAGTGCACAGAAAATCTTGCGCCGTAAATTGCACCATATTTGCATTACGGGATCTGTAGCGTTATAGTTAAAGACTAAAATTTAAAAAACCATAATGCTACAGTTCTGTAGCTACATTATAAAAAAAAAAATAACTTTGGATTGAACTCATGATCCCAGGAGCTAGTTCACAGGGAACCAAGACAGGAATAATAAGCTAGAATCTGTCAAATATGAAAATGTGTTAAGTTGTGTATGTTCAGATTTGTTGAAATCATGGTCCTTTGGGATCAAATATTTTAAAAATGAACTCTCAGAAATGTTTTTGTTGATAATTGAGTGACTGCTAGGCCTGTAGTGATCTCTCTAGGGAAAAAGTTTGTGCATGATTCTAGAGTGACAGCAAAGGCCCATGGGCTATCGTTTGTGTTTGTTTTTGCCTTGTTTCTCTGAACCTTGTCATCTTATATTCATTGAGATTGAAATCAATTTTTCAGGTTTTGTTGAATTCAGCTTCTAGGAAACAAAACAAAAAGAGACAGATTTTGATGCAAGAAGAGAATGGAAATGAGAGCAGTGACAAGTCTCGGAGTGATTTTGATACATGTAGTGTCCTCAGCATGACTAAATGTATCAAACTTTCAGGAAATCTCCTTTCAGGTATACATGTATTAACTTTCTTGAATTAATGTTTATTAATGATTGCATACTTTTAAAACTACATGTACTACCCGTAACTCAATTCAATGAATTTTAATGTCATCTGAGTCAAAAGTGACCTTTTTTTGATTTTTCCACATTTTTTCGCTGCCTTTCTAAAATGACTGAACCTAAATTTGGTTTATTGCATTTGAGTAAAGGGGAACAGAATTATAAATTCATGGTTCCTGTCCCAATAACCTTCGATTGAGTTGATCATATACTGTAAACCTACTTTTTTCCACAGAGTCAAAATTCCATGGAATCACAATTTCTGTTCATTTTGTGGATAGGAAATAACATGGATATCTTAGATTGGCTCTATATGCCTTAAGTGTACTTTTAAAAGTATGCTGGGACAAATTTCCGTGGAAAATTTGTTGCAGTGTACATATAGCATTAATTGATACCACGCTGAAAAAAGAACTTCTACAGTATTAAGGATGCATTAGAGCTTTAAAAAAAAAATTACAGAGTTTTTTCATTTTTATGAAAATTTTATTAGGCAAAATGCTTGCATGGTTATTAGGGCCCTGCAAGGATTTACGGGTGCCCTATAGTAATCACTCTGTCTGTCTGTCTGTCATTCTTCCATCTACAAATTTTCTGGGTTTTTTTAACAACTTTTTTTAGGGTTGACCAATTAAGTTCAAATTTGGTATGTTGGTTGAAGAGGCAGTAAGACGTATTTTGATGCTAAGTTTGGTTCTCTTTGTCACCCAGTTTGGAGTTGGGGTGATGGGGTAGATTCCTCAACTTTATATAAGAGTTAATGGGCAAAGAGAGATAACTGCTGAGAATGTTCCTATTGTAAACTATGAAAGGCTGCAATGAGTCTCTTGGGATTAATTAACTTTCCTCTTGAAGAAAATCCAAAGCATTAATCTTTATCTGCTACATTGAGATTAATTAACACCTCTGTCTGCAAATGAAGTTTGTTTTGAAGTTAAGGTCAATTCTGAATGATGTTTACATTCTCTGAAATGTGGATTTAAATAATGTTCATACTTTATTTTGGTAAAATACACAATGAGTTATGATTTTATTGAATTCTAAAAACAAGATTTACATGTAGATAAAGATATCGTTATTATTGTGATTTTCTTTTTTTTTCTTTTTTCTGCCTTATGTAAATTCAAGAATACTATTTATTTTGACAGGTATTCAGATAATAACCTCATTCTATCATTGCTGAAAAAGTTCTTACTGTAAACTTAGAAGAAGAAAAGGTTGAGAGAGCAGTATAATTAATCCCCTGGGATTGATTATCTTGCTGGTTTGCAGAAAATTTTAGAAGGTTATCTTTCTGTCACTTTAAGATTAATTTACACCTTTGTCTGCAACTGATATTTGTTTTGAAGTTAAGGTCAAGCCTGGGTGATATTTGCATTCACTGAAGGCTGGCATTTTAGAAAACACATGCTTCATTCTTCTTTAAATATACATTTAATTTAGTTATTATAGATATGATGTTTTTTACTGCCTTATGAAAATACAAGGGTACTATTTACAGGTTGTTGGATATTTAGCAGTTTCTATTGCTTATTCTTTATATATTTTTAAATTTTTGGAATTAAGTAAAAATTCTCATCCCCTAATCTGCACCCTTATATTTCTACCCATTGGCGGGGCCCTTGCTGACTGGTCAGATTTCTAGTATTACAGTATAAATCCACTTCTTATATTATAAAATGTCTGAATCCTGGATGTTGGGTTTATGTTCAAAAGGTGAAGCTAGTTGGTCTTATATTTAAAGTGCATTGCATCTTTGAAATCTTAACTCATGAATATGCAGTCTATTTGTGTTATTATTATAAATGAGTAATTAGCACTCCTCCATAAGTATGATGAACTACTAAAAATCAATAAAGCAAACTATGGTAATAACACCCAATATACCTGTAAAAATACTCTAATAAAAATCTGTATGTAATAACAGTCACTTTTTAACAATCCCCCCCTCCCCCCCAAAAAAAAATCGGTAAAGAAATCTATAGTGTTGACATTAACATAGAGTCTACCTCTGGATTAAAATTATCCAGATGAATAACTTTAAAGTTTGAAGTAATTTCCCAAAAACTTAAGCATGTTTGGCATTTTACAAAGTGATTGCCTTCCAAACAACAGCTTGGCTCAGAGCTTAACTTATCATGCTTATATTTTCTTAACAATTTACACAAAGTTAAGTTTTATTGTCTTAAACTGATTCGGATTCCACCCAAAAAATACAAGCCAAATTATTGAGTCCCTTTTGTATGAATAGCATTTAGCAGTAAAAAATATTTCAGATGAGAGATGCAAATTTAGGGACTGTTAAGTCAAAATTGTGTTCCCAAAAATATTGTCATGAAGGTGAAGAAATCTGATTATTGGCTTGTTAATTACCGTCACACCACTGTTTTATGTTTTAAAGCACAAGCAGAAAATCATCATAATTAAGCTATGCCTAAATTAAACATTTAACAAATTTTACGTCCCTTGAGCAAGTGTTCAGGGTCAAGGATAGAATGATCTGTTTAATTTTTTTTCCCTTTTTAAAATATAAGAAAGCACTATTTATGCATGTATATTTTAAGTTAGATAACAATTCAACCACCCTACAAATACAATTAAGAGTCTATAGTATTGACTGCCCATTAAATGTTTATACTAGATACAAATGTTGATTAAAAACTATAGGGGTTTGTCACAGCAATGATCCAAGATCATTTGGACTAGGCTAGTTATTGGAAGGAAAATTTGTAACAGAGAAATGTGGGCATTTGTATATGACACTCATGTCTTGGAGAATATTCAATTACTTGTGATATTCAGGTGACCATCAAGGCCCACGGGCCTCCTGTTTGATGTGCTTTAACTCTCTTTTTAATGTTGTATATCTTAGCTGAAAATAAATTGAAATTGATATTTGAATTTTATTATGACACTCATGTCTTGGAGAATATTCAATTACTTGTGATATTCAGGTGACCATCAAGGCCCACGGGCCTCCTGTTTGATGTGCTTTAACTCTCTTTTTAATGTTGTATATCTTAGCTGAAAATAAATTGAAATTGATATTTGAATTTTATTACAGATTCTAAATCCAGCAACAGTGAGGTCAGTGAAGGGTTAGGACATGGATTGGAGGGAGTCCCAGAGAATCGGGCAGCTTCCCTGTCATGTGACCCTCCACTGTCGTTTGGAATGCTAACAAACTTCCAGGCTGACCATTTATTTGTGAATAAGCATAATACGTCTTATGAAGCAAATCTAAGAGCAGCTTCACCAGAATTGAGCTACAGTGATATTGTCCACAATCTGTCTGTAACCTCTCCAAATTTTAGAATTTCAAATAATGTTCATCATACAGACCTACATATAAATACCCTTGACACCCAGGGGTTTCCAAGTCCCTTAGCAACTCCATCTGCTATGATCACAACACCCACAATATCAGAGGATTCACAAAATGTAAGTGTAAAAATATGCTGTGAAGTGTTGTTTAATCCATTTGATGTCTGTAACTACCAAATGAATGAAAGCAGGACTGATAATAAATGTAAAATTACAGTATTCCAGATGGAAGACTCAGGTTTTACAAATCAGTAGTAAATGGTGAATAGAAGTATGAAAAATTTTGTTGAAAAATCATTTTGTTAAAAAAATACCAGGAAAACAACAGTGTTTTAAAATTTTGATGAAAAATCATTTTAAAAAAAAAAAGAAGAAAACATTTACAAATTCTTTTAATTGATATTAAATGATAAAATTTGCACTTTCAAGAAATCAATTTAAAAGGTTTTTAATGAATACTTGAGGAATTCTTTTTATATTTCTGCTGTCAATAATTTCCAGACATCCCAGTCCAGTAATAATTCTCCTACCAGCGGTTTTCCCTACCTAAGGCTGTACCCGAGGGATAAAGAGGACTCACCCCCTAGGGTGCAGTTCCACCAGTGTAGATGGATGCACTGTGACAGCAAGTTCCTCAAAATGGATGACCTTGTCAACCATGTCAATGACCAACATGTCAAGGTTGAGAGACCTGATATTGACTATCAGTGTAAATGGGAAGGTTGTCCTAGAAGAGGAAAAGGATTCAACGCTAGGTAGGGTCCTGATAAACTTATAGATCTATTGCTGAAATAATATACATTGTCATATTTTATTGTTTCATTGATTTTTGCCTCAACTTAGTAAATGGCTCAAGTGAGCTTTTCTGATCAGTTTTGACAGGTGTCAGATATCATCTAGAAACTTATTTCTGATTTAAATCCACTGGACTGCTTTCATAAACTTTGAAACAATGATTCCTTAAATAAATGGAAATCAGATTTTGTTCATACAAAAGGCTATTCTGCTTGTAGGAGGCAGAGAATAAATTCTGAAAGTATATTGGATCTTTTAGTAATACTTTTTTCTAGAACAACTGGACCACAAAATGTATGTGATAGCTTACTGAATAATGTACTACATGTAATACTAAATTTGTTGAAAGCATGGCTCCTGAGATTAAAGAGGGAGTGATGACTTTAAAATAGATATATGTAGAAATTCCTTTAACATTTTTTCTTAAGAACAAGAAGAATTTGTTAAATAGATACAATACATGTAATATATATGCATCTTCATGTGATGTTGAATTCATTCTTGATTAAATTATGATCAACAGGAGTCATACTATGGGTGCAAGTTTTATAAAGAAGTTTAGTTGAAAATACATTTTAAAAGACAAAAAATAATAAAAGGTACTGCCTTTAGAAATTTAAGATGCCTGAGATTGTCATTTGTATAAAGCATATTTAGCTCTTGTTAGGTGTACGTGTAAATTCAATGTAAAGTGAACTTATGTATGTTATTTCCAGGTACAAGATGCTTATCCATATAAGGACCCACACCAATGAAAAGCCTCATAGTTGTGCTTTGTGTGGAAAATGTTTTTCTCGCTTAGAGAATCTCAAGATTCACAACAGATCACACACTGGTAAGTTATTAATAACAGATCACATTCTGGTAAGTCTTTAATAACAGATCACACACTGATGATATTAATAACAGATCACACACTGGTAAGTCATTAATAACAGATCACACACTGATGTCATTAATAACAGATCACACACTGGTGAGTCATTAATAACAGATCACACACTGGTAAGTCATTAATAACAGATCACACACTGGTAAGTCATTAATAACAGATCACACACTGGTAAGTCATTAATAATAATCTTGTACAGATGTTTAACATAAAAACTTGATCTTGGAGAACTTTGATATATTTAGGAATTTGTGGTATTGAGGAATAGTTTTATTAGCTCACCTGAGCTGAAAGCTCAAGTGAACTTTTCTGATCACCTGTTGTCCGTCGTCCGTCCGTCTGTAAACTTTTCACATTTTCAACTTCTTCTCAAGAACCACTGGGCCAATTTTAAACAAACTTGGTACAAAGTATCCTTGAGTGAAGGGGAGTTTAAATTGTTAAAATAAAGGGCCAAGTCCCCTTACAAGGGGAGATAATCAAGAAAAGACAAAAATAGGGTGGGGTCATTAAAAAATCTCCTCAAGAACCACTGGGCCAGAAAAGCTGAAACTTGAGTGGGAGCATCCTCAAGTAGTGTAGATTCTAAATTGTTAAAATCATGATCCCGGGGGGTAGGACGGGGCCACAATAGGGAATCCAAGTTTTACATTGAAATATATAGGAAAAATCTTTAAAAATCTTCTCCTCAAGAACCACTGGGCCAGAAAAGCTGAAACTTGAGTGGGAGCATCCTCAAGTAGTGTAGATTCTAAATTGTTAAAATCATGATCCCGGGGGGTAGGACGGGGCCACAATAGGGAATCCAAGTTTTACATTGAAATATATAGGAAAAATCTTTAAAAATCTTCTCCCCAAGAACCACTGGGCCAGAAAAGCTGAAACCTATATGGAAGCATCCTGGGGTAGTGTAGATTCTAAATTGTTCAAATCAGGACCCCCGGGGGTAGGGAGGGGCCACACTAGGGAACCCAAGTTTTACATTAAAATATATACGAAAAATCTTTAAAAATCTTCTTCTCAAGAACCACTGGATGGAAAAGCTGAAACTTATGTGGAAGCATCATGGGGTAGTGAAGATTTTAAATTGTTCAAACCATGACCCCCGGGGGGAGGGCAGGGCCACAATAGGTATTACATGGGGGGAAATCTGGTAAAGAACAGCACGGCCAAAGTTACTCAGGTGAGCGATGTGGCCCATCGGCCTCTTGTTTCCCTTGCTATTTTATTGATAAATCTGGAAAGAAAAATTAGGGTACAAGACAACTTTTTTATGAAATTCTGGGTTAAATGTATAGAGTAACTGTTTCCCAGTATGAATTTTTTTGCAAAATTTGTTAAAATAGTTTGTGATACTGAAGTAGCACCAATTGACTGTGACTGAGTTATAAAATAAAAATAATATAATAATGATAATAAAAAGTTTTAAATCACATCCTGAATGATATTTTTTTTTTTATTTTTTGAAGGAGAGAAGCCTTACATCTGTCCTTTTGAAGGATGCAACAAAGCCTACTCAAACTCAAGTGACCGATTCAAGCATGTTCGAACTCACCAAGAGGAAAAACCGTACATCTGCAAAATGCCAGGCTGCAACAAACGTTATACCGATCCAAGCTCTCTACGCAAACATGTCCGCACCCATGGACATTACTTCAATGGTGAAAATGATAACAAGAGTTCCAAATCAAAATCTCCCGATCAGCGGAGGTCTCCTCCACAAAATTTGTCTCCGCCCATTCCCTCCAATCCGTCACCCACCTGCGTTAATCAGAAATTGTACAGCATTCCTACGAGCTGCATTCTTCAACAAAGTGTGCCTGCTCATTATATGTCTCCTCATGGAATATTTCCCTCCAATCCGATGTTGTCGTCTGCTGTCTTAACAGGTGGATTACAGTCAATGTCAATTCCACCAGCTGACAGCTTGGTGACTGTGTCTCCAAGTTCTCCCATCAAACTGGACATTGAAAGTGATAAACTGTCTCTGGAAACCAAATGCCAAGATGGACCTCTGGACTTGACAACCAGCAGCCCCTCTACGGGATCCGATGTGGATGTTGGAGACAGAGAAGTTCCACACTTTCATCAGAATGGAAACTCATCCGTGCATAGTGCCTTGTTTGAGGATGAGTGACCAGCAATGTTATTTTTTTTCTTTTGTCTCATAGCTCTGGGGTATTTTAAAAAAGGAAAGAAAAACGTATTGGGAAACTTCTGCCTTGCAAATCAATGTATTTTACTTGTATATTTTTTCTTTATTTATGACATAAAGGCAGTTGTTTTCATTTATTTATTTTCTCCGTCCATGTTTTTATGAACACTAGAATTATGTGTGATTTTTTTTTATTTAAATGTATTTTAATAATTTGTAATAATGAAATACAACTGTGACTTTCTTGTCACAAGCAACGAAGATTTCTACCTAACAGTATTATTGCAATAATCATGTCTTATTGTTAATTAAGGTAGCTAGCCTGACAGTTTGGATTTGGATATATACTTATCATTCCTGCACGCACACAAAAATGTCAGTTTAATAATCATCACAGCATTGTGTATCTGGAGCCATTTAGGTCGATATATCTTTGTATCATACTTTTTTTGTTGTTTTCCTATCTGTTTGGTATTGATTTTGTGCATAATTCTACATTGTATTGTTTTCAAGCTTAATGCATTTAGTTGTTTACCAAAAGAAAATAATTTAAATATCTTTGAAATGTATACAAAAAATTTAAAATTGGAGTACATCACATAATCTTAAGTCCAGACATGATTCTCCCAAGTTGATGCCATGCTTTATGTAATAGAACTTACATCTAATTTGATAAAACTAATGGAAATTAACAGAACTGTCAGTAATGATAAAAGATGCATGAGTATATAGTTAAGTTAAATTGGAACAATTTTTTTATTGAGCTTCTTTTCTCCTCGGTGTTAGAGTTTATGGAGAAATACCTTCAGTTTGTGACATCATAGAGAAAAAATAAGTCTGACATTAATCCCATTCCTTGCATATTTTCTTCATTGTCTTGTTTGAGACAGTGTGTAAGTGTACAGTTTGTCAATGAGCATTTCTAAAAAGAATTTCCTTATTAATAGGAGTTGAGCCATTTCTGCATATAGACCTTGGTTTTATGTGTAGATTTTGAGACATCAATTTTGATATGACAAGTGTACTGATCAAAAGTCAGTATACTAATTAATTCACTCATACATTCTCCTGAGTTGCTCTATTTATTCCTATTATTTTATTTTAATAATTGATTATTTATTAAATGCCATAAAGTTTATTTCATTAAAGTTCATTGACCCTGTGATAAGGGAAATAACTCTTACTATGATTAAGGCTACATTCCCAGTAGATAAAGAGACATATTTTGTTATATACTGAATTTACAGTAAAGCATGGATATAGTGAACCCTTAAGATTGACTAGAGTTACATGTTATATTGAATTTGGTTATCAGTATACAGTGGATATGTTGATCTTTTAAACACATGATGACTGTGATATAAACAGGTACTTGCTAGAAGCAGGGTCACTATAAACATGTTTTACTGTACTAAATGTTCCTGTTTGCATTTAAAATGAACAGGTGTTCATTATTCATTTACTTATATTTTAATGAAAAGTGCTACACCAGAGTGCTAAAAACTTACTGTAATCATATACTGTCTGGTATAGACTTGAAATATTTCACAACTAAGATTAGCAGCACATATGGAAATCTTTTTCTTGAATTTAAATTGAAGCTATACCTCAAAAGCTTAGCATAATATAATGATAAAGTATGAGGGAAATCAACTAAGGTGTTTTATTTATTGAGATTAAGGGATAGATAAATGACAGAATGATCATTCTACTATTAAACAAGATCAAATAGAATTAAAATGTGTAAGTTATTAATGATAAATTATATGTGAAGATTCTCCCAAAATAATAATTGTACTATAATTAATAGGGACTTTCAATAAATTTGAATGATGTATAAAATACTTTTTAATGTGTAAATTGACAAAAGAACTTTTAAAGTTTCAAATTGTGAAGGAAACATTTAATTTCTCTTCCATCTCTTCAATTTATTGTTAGCTTACCTGACCAAAGGCTCATGTGAGGTTTTTCTGATCAGATTTTTCTGTTGTCGTCATTGTCTTTGCAAACTTTTCAACTTCTTCTCCAGAACCACTGAGCCAATTTCAACCAAATTTGCCACAAGCATCCTTGGGTGAAGGGGATCCAAGTTTGTTCAAGTGAAAGGCCATGTCCTCTTTCAAGTGGAGAGAATTAAGAATTAGTGATAATTTAATAGCATCTTTCAAATTTCTTCTTCTCAAGAACCAATGGGCCAGAAAAATTGAAACTTAGTGAAAGCTTCATTACAGGTGTAGATTCAAGTTTGTTCAGATCATGACCTTCTGGGGGTAGGGTAGGGCCACAATAGGTGATCAAAATTGTCCATGGGAATATATAGGAAAAAATCTTAATCTTTTCAAGAACAACTGAGCTAGAAAAGATGAAACTTATTGAAAGCTTCATTACATAATGTAGATTCAAGTTTGTTCAAATCATGTCCCCTGGGGTAGGATGGGGCCACAAGGGTATGATCCAAGTTTTATACAAGGATTACATAAGGAAAAATCTTTAAAAATCTTCATGATTAGTCATATTGATATGGAAGCATCCTCAATTACCTAGTGTGGTCTCTTGTTTGTGCAAATAATGATCCCTGGGCATAGGGTGGGGCCACAATAGGTGATTAAAAGTTTTTTAGGAATATAGAAGAAAAAAGTCTTGAAATTTTTTTCTCAAGAACAGCAAAGCCATGATTAGTCATATTGATATGGAAGCATCCTTAGGTAGTGTAGGCTTAAGTTTTCTCCAATTTATGACCCCAAGGGGTCACAATAGACAATCAAAATTTTACACAGGAATTAACGGGAAAAAAAATCTTTAAAAATATTCTTTTCAAGAACAGGAAAGGCATAATTAGTCATTTTGATATGAAAACATCCTCAGGTAGTGTAGAATCAAGTTGTTCTAATCATGACCCCAAGGAATAAAATGGGGTCACACTAGGAAATCAGACTTTTTAAATAGGAATACCGGGGTATCTAGGAAAACTGATGTAGAACAAATAGCAAGGCCATTAGTGATTCAGCTGAGCATTGTGGCCCGTGGGCCTCTTGTTTGATGTTGGGGTACATGTTTCTATTTAAAACCTCATATACATTTTGTGTAATGTAATGCATCACAATGGCACACATACAACTTAACATTCAACTTATTGCAACCTAATTTAAAAGCTGGATATAAAATATTTTTGATTAATATATACAATTTTAAGTTAAAGAAACATGGACTGGGACCAAAATTCATTTTAACTGTGTCAGCACCCAATACCTTCCAAAGATCTAAGCAAAATTGATTGTGCCAAACAATTCATGTTGCATTCCATACATATTTATAAAATTGAAGTTTTTGTTTCTCTTTATTCAAAAAAAATATTGAAAGCATTATGAACTATAAGATTTTATTGTGTATTTCTTGCCTATCATAAGATGTCTAGGATTCAGTTCTCTTCTCAGTTGTATAGGTGCTATATTATAAAGCATTTAGTGACATATGAACTCGTTTATTTGTTGTGATACATTGTTTTGGATTAAATAAATGAATTATATCTGTTATAACAAATTGTTGTATGTTTGTTTCAATTTTCTGGTGAAGTTGAACTTTGATATCTTGAACACTGATATCTTGAATGCCATGTATATGTTGAAGTGACTTGGAAGTCCCAACTACTTTTTGTCCTCTGCTTTCACTGAAATAGGGGGATATTAATTTGAATCTGCCTCTCTGTCATTCTGTCTGTGTGTAACACTTTTGTTTCTGGATATCTTAAAAAGCCTCTGAGCTTTTGCAATGAAATTTTATATTACAACTTCTTATGGCCTGAAGAAGACCCTTATTGATTTTAAGGTCAAGGTCATAAGTTCATACATCACAAATAACAGTTTCCCAGATTATCTTTAGATTCTCTGAGATTTTCTCAATGAAATTTTTAAATCAACTCCTTATGGCCTGAAAAAGACAACTGGATTTTTAGGTGAAAAGGTAAAGGTTAAAAATTCATGCATTCTGTTTGTCTGTAGTAATACTTTATTTCCTGGTTTCCAGATGATAAATTTACTTTTCCGTGGAGCTTATAAGGTCACCTGATTCACTCAGCTGACCTATTGCTATCTGTTTTCTTCCATTAGTGTGTGTCATCTGTCTTGGATTGTGCATTAATATTTGAACATTTTCAGCTTCTTCTCTGAAACTGCTGAACCAATTTCAACCAAATTTGGCATAGAACATCTGGGGGGGGGGGGGGGGGGCAAAAATTATGAATTCCATGGTCCCTTTTTCCCTGGCATCTCAGGGGTAGGGCTAAACCCATCAAAATTAGTTATATCTTTAAAAATCTTCTATTCTAATGATCATATAGTGAAATGGCATAAGTTCTTCTCCACCCCTGTATCACCCCTGTATATAAAGCAGATAAATTAGGTGCATGGTTATGATGATATGATTAAGGGTGCCTCTTCCAAAATTGTGAAGCCTGTGGTCCCAGCCCATCAGGGGTTCTGCAGGAGGGGTGGGGGCTGTATTGATTGTAAAGTGAAAATGCATTATTTCTTTGAAAATTTTCTTCTCTGCTCCTGAGTATTTTGCAGATAAACTAAGTGCATATTTTTGATGAGCAAGGATGCCTCTTCTGAAATTGTGAATATCATGGCCTTTTGGTGAGGGTTTTGTTGTAGGGGCAGGGTTAAATTGATTATTTAGTGAAAATGCATTCATTCTTTGAAAATCTTCTGGATATTTATCAGATAAACCAAGTGCATGGTTAAGATGATCAAGAGTGCCTCTTCCCAAACTGTGAAATTTGTGGCCCCAGGGTCGGGGATTCTGTGGGAAGGGGAGGGGGGCTCTTTTGATAATATTGTGAAAGTGTGTTGTTTCTTTGAAAATCTTTTTCTCTGCCACTGGGTATTAAATAAACTTATTCAAGTGCATAGTAATGATGAGCATGGATGTGTCTGCCAAAATTGGGAATTTCATTGCCCCCCAGGTAAGTGGTTTTTAGTGTTAATGTGGGGCTCTTTTGATTATATAGTGAACTTGCGTTATTTCTTTGAAAATCTTCTTCTCGGCTTCTGGGTATTAAGTAGATAAACAAGGTGCATGGTTATGATAAGCAAAGATGCCTCTTCCAAAACTCTGAAATCTGGCCCCAGGGCCTGGGGGTCTAGGTGGTGGGAGGGGATCTGTTGAATATATAGTGAAAATGCATTATTTCTTTGAAAATCTTTTCTGCTAGTGGGTATTAAGCAGACAATGTAACTGAATGATTGTGTTGAACAAGGATGCCTTTTCAAAAAGCTTGAAATTCATAACCCCTGGGTCAGGGGTTTTGGTGTTTGGGTAGAACTCTTTGGAATATATAGAAAAATGCCTTATTTCATTGAAAACATTTTTGTGTGACTATAGGTATTTAGCAAACATATTAAGTGCATGGTTATGATAAGCAAGGGTGCCTCTTCCAAAATTGTGAATTTGGCCCTTGAGTCAGGAGCTCTAGCGTTTGGGTGGGGCTATGTTAAATCTATGGTGGAAATGCATTATTTCTTAGAAAATTGACTTCTCTGCCCCTGGGCATCTAGTAGACAAACAGAGTATATAATACAATATAATTGTATTGAGTAAGGGTATTTTTACTATAATTTTGAAATTCTGCATCACTTGGTCAATTTATTAATTTGTATTCTACTGAAAGAAGTTATTCTGTTTCGCTATTCACCTATATTGATTAATCACTGTGATTGAATGGTCAATGGAATAGCATAATTTTTAAATGACAAGGTAGACTTGCAAATAATAGATAAATAAAATTAGACAAAACATTTTTGGGAGCCTTGATCTTTGACGACCTCACTTCATAAATTGGTGTTAGCAGAGTTTTAAAGAAAATATTCAAGATATTTTTATCAAATGTCATATGCTGATACATAAAAGTGAAAGCTATTCAACTGCAGCAAGAAGTTTTGACCTGGACCTTTCCTCTGACTTTGATCACACTAATAATAATTTGCATTTAGCTCAGTTTAAAAAAAATGTGCAAGATTTTTTTTTATCAAACTTCATATTCTGATACATTTTGGTGAGTGCTATTGAACTGCATCAAATTTTTTGGATCTTGACATTCTCTTTGACCTCACTTGCCTAAATTTGCATTTAGTTTAGTTTCAAAGAACATGTTCAAGATATATTTATCAAACGTCATATGCAGATACATATTGATGTGAGCTATTCAATTGCATCAATATTTTTGGACCTTGACCTCGACCTTCTCGATGATCATGACCTTACTATTCTCAAATTTGTTTTGCTCAATTTCAAAAAATTATTCAAGATATTTTTAGCTAAGCACATATACTGATACATACATGTATTTATGAGAACTTATCAATTGTGTCCAATTTTTATTTTACCTTGAACTTCTCTGTTATTTGACTGTATTATGTTTTGTTTAAAACTCATTTTCAAAGAAACTGTTAGTAATATTTTCATCAATTTCATTCACTAATGCAAATTGGTGAGAGCTATTCAACTATGTCATTATTTGGACCTTAACCTTCCATGTGACCTTTATCACACTTTTCTTCATTTATAGTATATATCATAACTCCCAAAGACTTAAAGAAGACCCCCTTTGATTTTTAGGTCAAGGTCAAAAATTTATATCTTGCATAAAATGGTTTCCTGGTGATAATACTAGTTTTTGGACTGAAATTTTATTCCTTTAGTCAATATGCCTTAAAAAGACTCCTCCTGATTTTGAGGTCAAAGGGACTTTTTTAATGTCCCTGTAATAAAAGACTTGGATGCATATAGCTTTGATCTGTCCATCCATCTGTTTATCTGTTTGTCTGCAAAAACTTGACCTTGCCTTGAATGGTTGGTGATAAGCTTTCATTATTGCATGTGTGTAATCCTTGTGACAAAACCTTTCTTCTAGGGGTACCAACCTTTTTGACCTGACATGACCTTGACTTTGAGTTTGACTTACATTTGAAAAAATTTTAAAACTAAAAAAAAACACTGATTTTTTGCAAAAGATTTTTAAAATCAATTATAATCTAACACTCACTTTATAATTGTTCAATAGTAAGTACAATTTAACTGTTTACTAGCGATGGGCCCAATAATTAACCTGGAATTGGACACATTTAAATGATTTCAAGTGATTAATCATTTACGTGCATTAGTGTCTGGAGTAGAAATGACAAGTCATGGTATTTGACAAGGTGTATAAATATAAGAATTTCAGTAAAAAAAAAAATCAGATACATGCAGTACAGGTATTTTTACTAGGTAAATGTACATGTATTGAGAAATGAATGTACATGTTGTATGTGATGATAGCCTGATTTAAATAAACAATAATTACAGTATTCAAAGGTTACAAAATTATGTCATATTTTTTTCAATTAATTCTAAGAATATCTTCAAAATGCCTTTTAACTTTAAGCATTTATTAGTTTCAGTAATTTATGAATGCTAATCACACAAATTTTAATTTGAAAAATTGTATTCCATAGGAAAAGACAACATTTAGACCCTGTATGAGCTAGGGTAATTTGATTTACTAAAAATTATCATTGAACCATAAGCCTGCATGATGCACAGATTATCACAGATTATATTTACAGTATTTTGATTCATGTAAATTATTAAATACTCATTTGTTATGCCCCACCATGAATATGGCCAGGGCATATGGTGTTTGTCATGTCCGTCTTCTGTCCTTCCGTCTGTCCTTCCACACTTTGCCTTTAGCTCTGTTCAAAGCTAAGTTTCAAAGAAACTATCCAAGATATTTTTATCAAACTTCATAGATGAGAGCAACATTTTTTGACCTTGACCTTTCATTTACCTTGGCCTCACTTTTCTTAAATTAGTGTTTAACTCAGTTTTAAAGATACCATTCAAGTTAGTGTAATCAAACGTCATATGTTGATATATACTGATGTAAGCTATTCAACTGCCTCAACATTTGTTGATCTTGACCTTTCAGTTGACCTTGACCTCACTTTTCTTAAATTAGTGTTTAGCTCAGTTTTAATGAAATCATTCAAGATATTTTTATCAAACTTCATATGCCGATACATACTGATAAGAGCTTTTCAACTGCATCAATATTTGTTGACCTTTTACCTTGACCTCACTTTTCTCAAATTAGTGTCAAACTTCATATTCTGATACATACTGATGTAAGCTATTCAACTGCATCAATATTTTTTGACCTTGACCTTTCCTTTGACCTTGACCTCACTTTTCTCAATTTGTGTTTAACTCAGTTTTAAAGAAAACATTCATATTAATATTTTTATCAAATTTCATATGCTAATACATACTGATGTAACCTTTTCAACTGCATCAACATTTTTGACCTTGACCTTTCCTTTGACTTTAACTTCATTTATTTTAAATTAGTGTTTAGCTCAGTTTTAAATAAACCATTCAAAATATTTTTATCAAACTTAAACTTTCCTGTGACCTTGACCTCACTTTTCTTAGATTTGCATTTTGCTTAATTTTATAGAAACCATTAAAGATATATTTATGTAAGTTTATGCACTTATACATAATATGGCGAGAATTTATCATCTATATCCAACTTTTTAGATTTCAATTTTAAAGAAACTATTCAAGATATTCCCATCAAATTTCATACACTAATGCAAATTTTCATGTTGTATTACTAATATACCCTCAGCCGGGCATTCATGTCCTATGGACATATTTCTAGTTTTAAAAAAATTCTTTGTTTATTTTTTTTCTCCCTCCCTCATAGGTTTTAGAGTTTTTATGTGACGTTAAACGTAGAATTAATTTCAGCCAGCCGAAATTATTTTTTTTTTAGAAATTATTTTGATCGGGATCGATGTTCAATTTCCCGCAGTACTCTGATTTTATGGCGGTATTTTGCATTGATTTTGACGCAACCGTAGATATCATGATCCTAAATGGATGACAAAGGCTCAGATTGGAAAGAAACTAGTCAAACGAATAATATACAGGTATTTTTATCAAATGGAAACATAACTGAATTCAGGTTTAGCCTATATTTTTATGCCAAACCTAAAACTTTCCTGTACATCTGCTGTGCATATTCTGTTGACAGATGAGATGGTTGTTGGAATACACAATTTATCCTTAACGTTAATATGACATGTTTGACACTGATAAATTAAAATACATGAAAGAATATACAGGGATAAGAAGACAAAACATCAAAGAATCTAATTGCGTTTTTGTGTTAGATCCAGTTTAAACCAGTCTAATTCGTGGAATTTAATTAGGCTGCGTTCAAGATGTAGTGCATAACAGAGAAGCTAGCTAGATATCTAGCCACTAAGGTTAATATTTTTGATAAAAAAAATATCAGAATAATAACTAATTTTTACAGCAAAGTGAGTCAATTTCCATCCTAACGTCAGGGGTCCTGAGTTAACAAGTGGTCATGGTACCCCTGGCAAATGGGGGGCTGGGGGTGTTGGGGGGGGGGGCAGCTATAGATGGTAGTCAATGCTTCTCATTGAGCTTGCTCTAAAAAATACCTTTTAGATTGACTAACAACTAATTGTGATCACCCTTGTCAAAATTTGAAATCACTGTCAGACATGTGGTCTGACAAAGTCAAATGTTCTGTCGGACCGGATGAAGTTTCTTCAGACCAGATACATGTACCTTATTTTGACGCTGAGAAAGGAAAATAAATAACTGCACCAAAATGCCTTTTATTATTTTTAACAGCATTCGCTCTCACAAGTTTCTTTTCTTAGGATAGAAAGTCTTTAATTAGAGACATAAAATGGCACATTTTATGTCTTTGCTGTAACAAATTTAATTGACCATCGTCACCACTTGGCCATCTCTTCTGTTTTTGTGACCTTCACCTGGGCACCCTGATCTGGATCTTTATAAAAATTAAGTCATACTTGATTTTTCAACCCGTCATATGGAGTGACGTTTGCTTAAAAGTTATCGGTCCAGATAAATTTTTACTGGCCTTGCCGACAGGATCAACAGTTTTCAACAAGTCTGTGTGATTTGTCTGAAAGTATCTGACACAGATTTCCACTGTCCTTATAACATCCATTATTTTTTTGTTCTTGACAGTGACACATTTGTTATTGTCAAACTTTTGCAAAACAGGGTATCTGAACTGTTCTAAAGAATGTAGCCTCTGGGGAACAATTCTTAAAGATTTACTGTTTTCTTTAGCACTGTTATCCTCTACTGTCTGACGATAATCTTTCTTTTAATACAAAATAACAAAACTTCCGATCATTATGAGATGTTGCAATTTTTTAATGCTTTAAGGACGTACGCAACATACCTTACCTACTGATAATTTTTCAAGATAATCTTAATTTAAGATTATAGTGCCATCAGACATTCATAGACAAAAAATCAGCATGCATTACCAGGGGTTTTGAAAAGATATCAATTGATGAAAATTTTTGTATAATTTAAAGAAAAATACACAAAAATTACTAAACATATATTCTAGATGTTTATCCAAACTTGTTTTAAAAGAAGTGTACAACGGCATATATAGACATTCAAATGTAGCACACAGTTCCTTTAAGTATTGGAACTCTTCAACTCCAGGGAAAAAGACAATAAAGTTCAAACTACGTTGCGTATGTCCTTAATTGTCTGTCTGGTTATATGTTTATTTTGTCCAGTTATCTCTTTTAACACTTGCTGACGGTACCTAGAATGTAACTGTTATTTTCCTTACGTCTGCCTTCTCTAGATATAAGCATATTGTCTCCTGTGCTAAAAATAGTGAGCAGGGCTTAATTGACCCATTTTGGTACAGGGTCCTGTACCTTTTCATTAGTGGTCTTGACTTTGGTAAGTTAAACAAAATACAATTTTCCATTTCTAAGAACATAAATGACTGCCGTCATGAGAAAAGGGCCCTTAAGGTCAAAATTTCACAAATTGACTTTTTGGTATATTTTGATAGCCTGACTCTTTCTGAATGCAAAAATACATAACATTTAAAAATATCTCACTTTTTCAATATTTTATGAGCATTTTAGTAAATCGCCTCAAAATAACATTGACGTTACTCACTGAAAATGTAATGACGTCGCGTGCGTCAAATTCAGTTTCCAAACATTCTTAAAATTATTTAAATAACTTTAATCGTTTTGACACAAATAAACTTGAAAAAAATTGATTTCTTCTTCCAAGCTTCTAGTATGTAATTATTCTTAAGGAAAGTTGCCTTTATAGTTCATACTATTTTAGAGACAGATTCAGTGATATCGTAAAGGAGGGGGGTGGGGTGGCCATGACAGGATCTAGGAACGGTTTATATTCATTTGAAAAAATAATATTTGTACAATTCCACTATTTCAGCACAAGATATTCTTTTTATATTTAATACTCTAACCAAATTTATACAATATATAAAACACTTGTAAATTAAAAACATAAAAAAAAACTTCACAGGTGTCCAATAGAGAAAGGATAGATCCAACCCAAGGAAGGGCAACGCTCGTAACGCGGGACATCAGCACATCGATCCCGATATATTTATAAAAAATATTTTTGGATTAATATAAGCAGGCATTCACTCAGTCCCCCCCCCCCCCTCGATACACAGACACACACACGTTGTTATAGGAGGGGAATAATACAGTCATGTAACATTTTATGTATTTTCTGTATCACCAAAGAATTCTAATGGACGCCATAATGTTTAATTATTTTTTTTTAAAGCATCTTCTGTTCATAAAAAAATCATAAACAATAAATATGTTCTGTACATCCGAGCGATTTTTTTTAATTAAACTCTTTAAAAATACTTTGATAAAACAAATGTTTAATAAATTTTCATTGTTCATCATACAAATCAATTTCTTCTCCTGTCTTAGTAACATAAAAGAGAGACACATAATGATGTCAAAGGATTGTCGTTTAAGAAAGGTTAATTCGTACGTGAAAATTGAAACTGTTTCTCAACTTCTTTAAAAATTTCAAAGTAAATCATGCTTAATAGAAAAGCTGCTATAAATGCTTCTATACTTTTTTGGGGGTGGGGGTGCTTTGCACCTGTGGTTTCGACGCTACTACTGTATCACTTGGACACAACAATCGTTCAATATTTCTTATAAGGGTCGCTAATGTAATCTCAAAAAGAAAACTTTATAAAAATTTCTGTAAAAATGATTCAATGTCGAAACGATTTGGCAATTCGCTATCATATTGCCAGATACTAATTACTCAGTATCACCTGCTGGACATGCAAAGATAGCCGGCAGACACGTGTCATATTTTAAGCTTATCAATGCTCGACATTTCAATTCTAGAAAAAAATAATACCTTGTAACATTGCGCTCGATCTGAAATAATAACCTCCCTGGATTTTTGGAATTGATAAAATCTCGTCAGATATTAATCACTCACAATGCATGTGTAAACGATTGTCTGGTTTCCGACTCAGATTTACGGAAAGTTCTGTAAAAAATAACATTGTATAGTTTAATCAAAGAGAGGGCTGTACTGCTCTTGACTCTTTTTAATATATGTACATTTAATGGAGCTGGATTTTTCTAAGCAAAATAAAATATAGTTGCGTTACAATTTTGACGAAATCTATTTGAAATTGAAACTGAATATCTTTCAAGACTTAAATATATTTTTACGCAATTAAGGTCATCTATTCATCTTAATCCGTGACATCAGCTAACTTGACATCAAAGGTTTTCAGAAGTCTTAAGCAATAATTAAATATTACGTCCAATACACGTTATATTTTTGTATGATGCGTTTAAGCAATATTCCCTTGAATGTTTGAAACTCTGCCGCTCTAAGTTGAATCTCTTCATAGGAGACTTAGTATCTGCTTGTGACGTGGAAGCTAAAAGTAAAATAGGCAATCCATTTTTCAAAGAATACCACTTTCTTGGAATGGTGAGATTAAAGAACATGACTCGTATTTTTTGCCTGTCACCACTCGACTGGAAGAGAAATATATATTTTTTTATTAAAAGCAGAAAGGATGTGTGTTTGTTTAATCCTTCCCTTAAAGTCAGGTACAGTTATAAACTTCGGCCTCGTGATGTATGGAATAAAACCCGGGGTAAATCCCCGTACACCTTTGATTGGACCTGGATTACTAATAGTATCCCGACATCAACGGAACTTTCAGAAAATGTCGAGATATCCGGGTTATCGAGATGAGACTCGACGTCCAAGATTTAAACGCGAAACGTGACTAATTTATTACATACATGATTTCAATAGTCAGTAAAAAAAATGCTTCCCTTCATATTTCACGGTCATCAAAACTTTGAGCCTCCGAAAAAGTTTTGTTTTTTGTCGCTTGAAACGTCACCATTGCTTTTATTTTTCATCTTTCTCAAAATGTAGATTTTTTTTATTGTTGTCTTACAGTTGGTGTTAATGTCGTTGATGATCAGAACATTTTTATAACAATATAATATGACATTCATAATTTAACCACTTGTTACTAGTACTTTTTTCCTCTGTCAGTGATTTATTCTCAAAAGATGTCGCTATATCAACATTTACCAGAAGTTCGTAATTTCTTTATATACAGCCTAATCTATCGTTTAATCTGCTTTTTTCTTCTGTTTCATACGCATATTTTCACGCATAATGTCACGTTCCATATAAATGTTATTTTCTTCAACGTTGAGTATAATGCTCATGGAAAAGCCCACATTAGATGTATTTTAATAAAATTCCTAAACCAAGCGCAATTTAATTTCAAGCCAGCTTTCATCGGAACAATTTAAGAAAATTTATACAAAAGTAATTGTGTATCAGAGAGTACTATATTTTATGCATTATTTGATCATTTCATTATTTTTTTTTTCAAAATTATATTTTGTAGCAAAATTTTCGTGGCACCCTTTTCTCCATTTTTTCCCCTAAGCATATTCTTTTGCTGTTAATTTTGTAGAGAATTATTTACATAACATTTATACAATCCCCCCTTTTCATTTGTTGTAGTACATGTAGGTTCGAATCTCCCATGTTACAAGTATCTTTATCAAAAACAAGATGTTCTCTCTTTTTTTGTTTGAACTTTTACCGGTTGTCTTTTTTATTCGTCGATTTATTTATTTATATTTTTTTTGTTTGTCAATAATCTCCCGATCCCCCCCCCCCCCCACACACACACACATTAACGCTTCACCCTTCTCTGGTCTAATTGTGCATATCAATATGATTAACTATGGATTAAAATTTAAATAACCATTTTAAAATGAACGAATTTTTAAAATAAAGCACTTATAAAGTACGCGTATATGTGCATTTCTCTCTCTCTCTCTCTCTGAAAAAAAATATTTACGTGCATGTAGAATACCTTTTAATAATACGTCTAATTCATATGAGTCAAATTTAAGTATTTGCAAATTGCTCAGAAAACAAATACACAGTATTTTTAGTCATGCATAGTATATAGACATCGCTATAAATCGCTGTACCCAACAATGTGTTCAATGTCGCGATTAGATTAATTATGCGATATCAAGAAAAATGCTTATTAATAAACAGAATTATGAATAAATACATGTACTAAATAGTAATAATATTATTTATTACAAATTTCGGCATCAATTTTCAAATATTTTTTTTATTTCACCTGGAAATCCAATTTTATTTCTTGTTCACGAAACGCAGTCGACAAAAATTACTTCCGTGTTTACAACACCGCGACTTTGACGTCGTTTTCTGAGCATTATGACGTCAAAAGATAAGGGCCCTTTTCTCATGACGGCAGTCAAATATATTTGAAAGGTTTTTCTTTATTTTCATAAGACAGTTTAAAAAAGGTACATGATTAAAGAAAATACCTTTCTATTTAATGTACTACAGTCTATAAATGTACATTATTTTAGAAAAGAAATACATAACTGGTGTTAGGTAAAGAAGTCGATTACATTTTATTACATTTTATTACATTTTATTAAAAATTTTTTTTGTCTTTTGTTTTTGGTCAAAATTTAAACTTAGAGTCGTAGAAAAAATATTGATAATCATGAAAATGGCTTGTGTTTACATTGAATGTTTATAACACTTGCACTAATTACGCCCTTGAGTTAGTCCTATGTAATGAACATACACGGTTACACGGTTAGTTTATATTTTAACATTTTCAATGATGATGTTAAACAGTTCTGTTATATCAAATGAGCTTGAATAATTATAAAATATGGCAAAATAGAACAGTAGCAGATCAAAATTTGGTCAGTCCATGCAGTCACATGCCAAAGAGAAAGCAGTAAAATTTTCTGTGTTAAAAAAAGAGGTCTCAGCATAAAAGTGTCTATCCATTTTTTTTATTATGTAAATTACATTTTAATATTTCTTTTATTAATTCTTTTAAAACTATAAGAAAAAAAATCAATAAACAAGATATTAAAGGTTTTTTTGCCTTCACCAGTATGTGCATGTGTACATGCTTTGAGAGGGTTTTTATACGCCCGTCTTTAGACGGGACGTATTATGTTATAGCGTCCATGTCCGTCCGTCCGTCCGTCTGTTAGCTTTTTCGTGTCCGGCTCATAACTTTAATACTATTAGGCCTAGAATTATCAAACTTTGTCAGCTGATGCATCTTGGGTAGAAGGTGTGTCGCGCATTAAAAGTAGGTCGCTCTGACCTTTAATTAAGATGTTATGGCCAAATATGGAAAAATCCTGTCCGGCTCATAACTAGAAAACTATTAGACTTAGAATCATCAAACTTGGCCAATTTATGCATCTTAGGTAGAAGGTGTGTTGCAACCTATTTCAAGGTCACTGTGACCTTTAATTTAAGTGAAATTTTTAAAAAAAAATGTCTTTGTAGTATTAAATTACACAATCCCAAAAAATGAAAGGGTGTTGCAGTATCCATATTAAAAAAATGTTAAATCAAGAAAATACTTATTTTTTTCATTATATACTTTACAGCAATCTATAACAAATGTAATGTTATAAGAGAAATTCCACCTCTCCCATGGGTTTAATTATCAAGCACTGGTCAAGTAGAATTTTGATAACAGAAAATTGCATGTCAAATTAGAAGGTTTAGTGTGAGGAGCTAACTGGTAGAGCATCTCTGATCAAGCAGGTGTTATCTATATCTCTTGGGAACTGGGCAAATGTTGGATTAAATACATGTAGTTCTTGTTCACAGGCTAGCCTAACTTTTAAAATGAATTTGATGAAAAGTGATTAAAACTAATTTGATACTGCATGATAATAAAATTTGTTGATATTTTATAATAAACTAATTAATTAAAACTAATTATACTGGGGGTGGGGGGGGGGGGGGTAATGTTGAAATCATCATGCCCATTGTCCGTATGATTGCAGCTTAAAACCAGCTAGTGTGACATTAAATCTAAAAAATTTAATTATGGTAGATAGCCACTACAAATCTAAGAGTCATGCAGGAACCTTATTAATAATGTTGCTTCAAGATGACAAAAGTTTTTTTTTCTTTTTAGAAATCTTTGTAACAAATTTTTAAAAAAATCTTTGTTTTCAAATTTAACTTCAGGATGACATAAATATGCATTTTTATTGCACTACAAAGCAAATAGTGCAGATCCATTCATCCCTTGGGAGTAATGAGTGGACATGCATCCAGTTAAAGATTAATTAATGAGTTCAATGTAGAAAGGCTAGCTGTCTCAGTCATTTCTATTAGAGCATCTCTGATCAAGCAGCTCTTATCTGTATCCTTTGGGAATTAGACAGAAGAACTGCTGGTCAGTTTATAGCATATGTCATTTGATGGCCAGCCTTTTTATTTTCAAAATTAATTTGGTATAGATTAAGTTGTTAAGACTAAATTGATATTGCTTAATATGATATTTTTATATTTGTTGAAAATATCAACTAGAGCATCATGTCTCACAAATATGAAAGATGTGTTGGGGGGGGGGGGGGGGGGGGGCTGCAGATGGGCATTTGTCAAGCTCTGCCACAACCAGTTGAGGATTTGTAATGTGATATTTGTTAAAATTAATGCGTACACCACAGGAGTTGTATAAACAAATATTTTAAGGAATGGAAAAATCATGGAAATCCTTGTACTGGTATCAAGGTTGACATGATTTTCTTGCACTCTAAACTGTTTTTGATAATTGAACAATATTTGACGGGCGTATCATGCTGTGGCGGGGCACTTTATTTTTCACTTATCTGGACGATTCATTTATCCAGATGATTTCGTTCGGGACTGAGGTGTCCGGAGTAACAAGGCGTCACTGTACATAACCATTGATGATGCATGAAGTGAGCTTCTGAAATATAATTATATAAATAATTTTATTGTAAATTTTTTTGGTCAGGAAACAGAATTGGAGAAAAAAGAGAAAGAGGACTTGGACAGTGCAACTCCTAACAATGAAGAAGTTCTCAGTGATGACAGCTCCTGTGGGGAGCAAAATAGTGAGCATTCTGTACACGATACAATCACCTCAGTACTCCACATGCCACTAGTGGGTCCTCAACAGTCAGAGTGCTCTCCTCAAAGCCCTGCCCACTCTCCAAGACCGATCCTGACTTCTCAGCAGTCCATTGTCTCAGGACGGTTTACACGGACCTCTTACATCAGTGGAGATACTGTCAATCATAGCAGTCCCTCTAGACTCAGTCCTGCACAACTTCATGCTGTTGAAACAGAGGAGGATATTATTGAAAATAATGTATGTATCCCTGTGTTTGAAATGAATATTACTCATTTACTGGGCTTGTAATATTGCTTCTTGTCATGTAAGATGAGAACGCAAACATGTTGGCAACCTGTAGTTTTAGGGATCATGTCTTATGTTTTATCTACGTTAGTCACTATTGAAAATTGCTTTCTTTTCCTGTGGGTAAAATGAGCAGTTTGCTCTCTTCCAAAGTTGTGGCATTCATGTTCTCTGTCTAGTCCCCAGGATTAGCCTAAGTTAGTCTTATACTGAAAATTTAAATTACAGTAAAGCCTCGTTATCTCAAGGATTCGAGATATCCAGGTAAAATACTTAAACAATAAGGGATTTGGACTTCCAAATCATTTCAACATACCCATGGTATTCAAGATATCAGTGTTTGAGATACCATTGTAACGTTTTGGGTTTTATATTAAAGTAAATTTAAATAAATTCGCTGCCACCAATACTAACGTGTAATTTTACATCAACTCGGTACCTATGAGGCACGTTACAATAGTTGGGTTCGAAGGTACCTAGTTTTAATAAAGGAAAGAAATATATATAAACAGTTAATACATATATTTATTATAGCATCAGTACATATATTTATTATAGCATTAAAGACAATAAAGTTCAATAAATATTTAAAATGTCTCTTCAATATTAAGTATACTGCCGAAATTCCACGGAGCTCGGTGTTTGGTGCTACTCGGTGCTTCTCGGTGCTCGGGCCTACTCAGTGTTCGGTGCTACTTGGTTTCCGGTGCTTCTAGGTGTTCTGTACTACTTCTCGATTTCCGGAGCTTCAAGATGTTCGGTGCTATCTGCTGCTACTACTAAGTATAACTATACAGGCACAATCAGGAACTCTGATACTGTAATCAGAACTATATATGAAATCCAAATATCTACTTCTTAATAACAAAAAGTCCACCCCCCATCCTATGCTAGCATGTCATGCGTAGATAGGAAAGTTCTTGTGCTAATGCCAACCATAATTTATAACCTATGCAACTTAGAATGGTCTAATATATACTACTCGGTGCTCGGGACTACTCGGTGCGACCAGGTGCACTGTGGTACCCGGTGCTCGGTGCCGCCGGTGCCAAACTGCACCGTAAATTAACTTCAGCTAAATCTTAATAAAAACGGAATTGATTATTCTAAACTTGCACAGTCGATAATACTAAAATTTATTCTAATAATTTAAGAAACAAACTTTGGCTCAGAATCTCACACCGAGTAGTCAATATCTGAATACTTTAAACTAATAAAAATTCTCAAATATTTTCTAAAGAATTTACATTTTAATATACTATATCTAAATAGGCTAAGAAGGTTTTAACTTTTTCTAACTTATCTAAAATATGAATTTACCTTAAACTTTACTGGCACCGACCAACACCGACTTTTTCTTTATTTTTCTGGAGGAGATCTGACGACGACGCTTCGAGTTTGCTGCTTTTATACTGTGACGCAGTGATGCTGTGACTACGTCATATGTAAAATGTAAAACTCCAAAAACAATACTTTTATCAATAAACTAGGATAAACCAACCTACTAATAATACTCCAAAAGATCTATTTTATATAACTATAATTTTATAATTATTTTAAGCTTATTATTTCTAGAGTTATATATCCAGAAACTACTCGTCTGCTAACAATCCGGATATATTCATCTCTACCATACAGTTTCCGCAATTATTGAATCTCATGCATTTCCAGTTATCATATAACGAAATCCCGGTAATAAATAAATCTTTTGATGCTAAGTTCTACAAGATAATAATTTTAAGAGACACTCTTCTAGAATAGACAAAAGTGGAAATATATACTACAGGTAAACGTAATCAGCGTAATCAAAATGAAACACTGACATTTGTTGTTCCAAGTGTAAACATGCATCTTTAGTTCTGTAACGAAAACATAACTAAGAAACATACATTCTAAACAACACTAAAGGTTTGCTATGCAGGTGCAACACCATGAATAAGCATGTGCATGAATTAGCAGACAAAAAGCAGTGTGAAAGGCACTAAAATATGATTACACTAAAATAAGTATATGTTTACAGTTAGTCAGGCAGGATATTTCCAAAGTTCCATATTCAGCCTAAAATGGGGCAGAATATTTTATAGCCTGAAAAACTCTATATACTAAGGTACTCTGATGACTGTCAAGACTTTGAGACTTTTGTCTGTATTATACTATATATAAATTACTTGCATTTTCTATCCTTTGTTGATTATTTCTGTAATTCAGGAATATGCCAGTTCAGATACAACTGTTGATGATTCTACAGAGTATGTTGAGAGTGCACAGATAACTGTTACATCCTTTGGGGCAATCTCCACTGACACACAAGACAGTGCCAGATATGATGATGCCCCATTTCCTTGTGGAAACATCCATTTCTGGAGTGAAGCTCACCATATTGAAGAACACACGGTACAAAACTGTTACAAATGTTCAAAATTGAAATTGATAATGTAATATACCAAGTTACTTTAATTTAGTTACTTTGCTTGTCTTTATGATAGTAATTTCAGTTTTGAGTATACCTAGATATATACTTGTAATTTTAGATGCCCTGTCATGAATATGGCCAGGGCATGTAGTGTTTGTCATGTCCATCTTTCGCCTTCTGTCTCTCTGCCTTTCTATCCTTCCATCACATTGCCTTTAGTTCAGTTTCAAAAATATATTCAAGATATTTATTATCAAACTTCAAATATGATACATATTGATGAGAGCTATTCAACTCCATCAACATTTTTTTTTTTACCTTGAGATCACAGGCACTTGGGGTATGGACACCCCCCTCCCCCCCTTTCCATTTTGTTTTCTTTTTAAATCTGGGTTTGAATCACCTTTTTCCTATTTTTGTATTCTAATATGAACTATATGTTATCAATAATGTAACTCTTTTGTTTCTATAAGCTGTTTTTAAATATATCGTTTTCGACTGATACATAAAAAGAGAGAAGGCTTGCAACTCTTTTCTCGTCGTCTGCCTCACCTCGCTTAAACTTCGCCTGATTATTTATCTAAAGCATAAGAACACATGGAATATGCATATGTCAATAAATTTGTTACACTTTCTTCTTCCTTTTCATATTTCCATTTAATTTTTATTTTCCCCCGATTTGTAAATATTTCGATTAAATCACCCTCATTTAGGGTAAAATTTGTTGATGTGCACCAGCTGGGACAGAAGTGTCCGGTATTTTCGGACGTCATCATTAAGTGTAATGTCATTCGGAACATTAAATGCGAGAGGGAAAGATCCCGAATTTTCTCTTTATATTACGTGTAACGGTAAGTTCTGTGTATAACAAGATAGCTGTAACTAGCAGATTCTTATGGATGAAGATTAACATTTTTAACATACAACCTAGACAACCAAATTTCACAATATAATCATTACAAAGCCTGGATTATTTTTAAATGCAGAACATTTGTAGAGTTAGAGTTACCGTTATTGTACTTCCGTCCCAGCTGGTGCACATCAACAAATTTTACCCTAAATGAGGGTGATTTAATCGAAATATTTACAAATCGGGGGAAAATAAAAATTAAATGGAAATATGAAAAGGAAGAAGAAAGTGTAACAAATTTATTGACGTATGCATATTCCATGTGTTCTTATGCTTTAGATAAATAATCAGGCAAAGTTTAAGCGAGGTGAGGCAGACGACGAGAAAAGAGTTGCAAGCCTTCTCTCTTTTTATGTATCAGTCGAAAACGATATATTTAAAAACAGCTTATAGAAACAAAAGAGTTACATTATTGATAACATATATAGTTCATATTAGAATACAAAAATAGGAAAAAGGTGATTCAAACCCAGATTTAAAAAGAAAAAAAAAATGGAAAAGGGGGGGGGGGTGTCCATACCCCAAGTGCCTGTGCTTGAGATTTAACCTTGACCTCACTTTTCTGAAATCAGGGTTAAGCTCAGTTTCAAAGAAACTATTTAAGATATTTTTATCAAATTAAATTTGCCCTATTCAACTTTACATATTCAGTTGCATCAATATTTCTGACTTTGACCTTTCCTTTAACCTTGACTTCTCTTTTCTCAATTTTATGTTTAGCTCGGTTTTAAAGAAACAAATCAAGAAATTTTTATCAATCCTCATGTGCTGATACATTTTGGTGAGTGCTATTGACCTGCATCAAAATGTTTGAACATTGACCTTCCCTTTTCACCTTGATCTCATTTTTCTTAAATTAGCATTTTGCTTAGTTTTAAAGAAACTATTCAAGATATTTTATGTGAGCTTATGCACTGATATGTACATTGTTGGAATTTATAAACTTTTTTTGAAACCTTTACCTTCTTAATGAGCTTTGTCTTCACTATTTATTGTGTTGAAAACTCAGTTTTTAAGAAACTACTCAAGATATTTTCATCAAACTTCACATACTTATGCAAATTTCATGTTGCACTACTAATGAAGCCTGGGTCAGCCATTCATGTCCTATGGGCATATTTCTAGTTACTTTCACAGGTAGGAACTAATGAAATAAATGTACACTTCATCTGGGTTACTTTAAGGATAAATCACAGTTTAGAAATGCTCAATTATTGTTTCCAAATTCAGCAGGGCTCTACATTAACTTTTTTTTCTACTTGTCCAATCAGACAAGTGACCAAGATATTTACTTGTCCAAACGTCAACTTCACTTGTCTGAAAAAATTTTCAGTGGAGATCTAATTTTGTAAACTTTAAAAGTACAGTACTGTATTACCAGGTCTGGCACAATCTCTTGATTTAGCTATATAGCTTGATTTAGCTATATAGCTCAATGAAGCTATTCAGAATAGCTTGATTTTGGTATTGTATCACACTTTTTTCTTAAATGTGTTTTTTTTATGGCATGTACAAAAAGTCACACCATGGTGCAGTGAATGTATTCAACCTTGAACTCTTCTGAAAACAATGCATGTAAAATTCGCTCATCAAATTGTGTTTCCTTGAGAGACTTAGTACTCAGAAGTTCTTAAAATTTTGGTCCAACAGACATCACAGCGATAGCCATTTGTGCAGTGTGCGTAAACTTTTTAGAATATGGGCCTTAACTCATGAACCCCTCGGCCAATTATTGTCAAATTTGTCACAGGGTATCCTTGGCCTAAGGGCTTCTGTTTATACTAAAACTGGGGTTGTGACCCTTAAACAAGGGGAGATAATTAGGAAAATAGAAAAAAAGTACTGGTTGCTAAAAAGTCTTCTTCTCAAGATCCACTGGGCAGATTGTCACCAAACTTACACAAAAGGATGAGGATATGTTGTAGATTAAAATTTTTTCAAGGCATCACCCTGGAGCATAGGGCGTGATCTCAAGGTCACTTCAAAGTTGACAAAAAATTACATTTTATTAAAATGTTGATATTTTGCTTACTATAAGGACTAGGATCATCAAGTCTTGTCAGTTGATGCATCTAAGGACCTCATATCATGTTGACTCAAAAGTAGGTCACGGTGACCTACTTTTAAAATTTTGCCACCATTCTTTGTCAAAATGATTTAGAGGCATATTTTGAACAATTTAAGGCCTATGATCATTAAACTTTGTCAGTTGATGCATCTTAGGTCCTCGGAGTACGTCAACTAAAAAAGTAGGTCACCTTGACCTACTTTTTGAATTTTATGGCTAATCTTTTTCAAAACAATTAAGATCATTAATTCAAATACTGAGAGGTTTAGAATCATGAAATCTTGTAAGTTGATACATCTTGGGGCCATAAAACATTTTTATTAAAAAGTAGGACACAGTGACCTACTTTTTGAACTTTGCAGGCATTCGATTTCAAAGCGTTTTAGAGGCATAATTTGGGCAATTTAAGGCCTATGATTATAAAACTTTGTAAGTTGATGCATCTTGGGTCCTCGAAAAACGTCAACTGAAAAGTAGGTCACCATGACCTACTTTTGAAATTTTATGGCTATTTTTAAATATTTAGGGTACTATTTGGCTTAGAATCATCAAAATTTGTCAGTTGATGTATCTTGGGTTCAAGGAGTAGGTCGACTGAAAAGTAGGTCACCATGAACTACTTTTTCAATTTATATGACCATAATTAAATATTTCGGGTACGAATTGGCTTAGAATCATCAAACTTTGTCAGTTGATGCAACTTGGGTCTTCGGAGTAACTCGACTGAAAAGTAGGTCACTGTGACCTACTTTTGAAATTTTTATGGCTGTATTTAATATTTTCGGGTACTATTTGGCTTAGAATCATCAAACTTTGTCAGTTGATGCATCTTGGGTCCTTGGAGTATTTCTACTGTAAAGTAGGTCACCATAACCTACTTTCAATTTATATGGCTATAATGAAATATTTCGGGTACTAATTAGCTTACAACCATCAAACTTTTTTCAGTTGAAGCATCTTCGGTCCTCGGAATAAGTTGACTGAAATTTAGGTCACTGTGACTTACTTTTGAAATTTTACGGGTATATTTAAATATATCAGGTACTTATTGGCTTAGAATCATCAAACTTTGTCAGTTGATGCATCTTGGGTCGTCAAAGTATGTCATCTGAAAAGTAGGTCACTGTGACCTACTTTTGAAATTTAATGGTTATAATTTTTAAAATATTTTAGGTATTAATTGGCTTAGAATCATCAAAGTTAGTTGATGCATCTTGGGACCTCAGAGAATGACAAGTGATAAGTAGGTCACCATGACCTACTCTCAGGTACTAATTGACTTAGAATCATCTTGGGTTCTCAGAGTGTTTCATCTAAAAGGTAGGTCATTATGACTTACCTTTGGAATTTCAAGGCTTTTTCAAAATACATGTATACAGGATACTTAGTGGCTTCAAATAGTAGTGATAGGTTGTACAGTTTATCAGAAGAGTGATTCAAGGCCCTTGGGCCCCTGGTTTCTTGAGGTTTTCTTTCTTACATATCTTAAATTGATCAGGATAAGTCTGTAAGAGTATTCAAACCTTATTGCAGGTTGTTACCTTGACTTTTTCTTTGATGTCACAATTATTTGTATTTAAGGGTGCATATTACACAGCAAGGAATGAGAACTTCTGAAATAAGCAACCACATGTATATTAATGAGGCTTAAACAGGTAAAAGGTGAAATAAAATTTAGAAAACTTATTATTATTATCAGAAGTACATTATTTATAATGGATTTTGTATATTTTAGACCAAGAAGCATTATGTGACAGTTTCGGCTGACACTCCCAGTGAGGCTGTGGCCCATTTTATGGGGACGTACTGGAAAATGCGGAGTCCCAAAATTGTATTGTCTGTCATTTCAGGAGTCAAACACTTCAGACCATGGAAAAATAACAGACTCAAGGAACAATTTCAGAAGGGAATAATCAAGGTAGTATTAATCCAAAGTCATTTTTAGCTCACCTGAATTGAAAACTTGAGTGAGCATTTCTGATCACATTTTGTCTGGCATCTGTCTGTCCCTCTAATTGTCTGTCCTTCTGTAAACTTTTCATTTTCACTTCTCCTCAAGAACCACTGGGCCAGTTTCAAACAAACTTACCAAAAGTGTAAAGGATTAGTGATTCATTTTGGTCTGTGTCCTGCGTAAATTACGCACAGATTTTGCTCAGGACACATTATTTCAATAAACATGCATCCCAATGGATGCAATAAATTTATAGAAGGACATGTATTATTTTAAATTGTTGCGGTATAATCTGATTCAAAACTTGATGGAGTGCATCATATCCACGTGCTGAGGGATATATGTATGAGCGATTTCAACAGGTAGAAGGTTGCCAACAAAAGGCAGATTTCACAATTCACTCTTAAATTGTAGTTAACAGGCAATTACAAAATATTTGAAAGTTAAATAGCATAGTTTGATTATAAATGTCTACTGTTGAACATTTCTGTAGCGTTTACTATACCTTTGTATTTAAACTGTAACCTGTATCATTAATTTTTTTTCTTAGAAGCTAAGAAGTATAAAATTTGATCATTTTTCTTTCTGACTATTTTTCTTTTTTTAAAAACTTTCTTCTCTGTACTTCTTCTGACTGATACAATGTGTGAGATTGTATTTATGATCTAAAAATAGAACCAATATGCACAGTTGGCAATATATTTTTTTATGCCACAAAAGGATGTATTCTTACTTCCAATTGATAGTAAAAGTATAAAACACAGCTACAATAAAACATTTGCACTTTCGTGTAATACCCTTTTATATTTCACCAGAATTTCATCTGTAATATCTAATATACGGCACCCTTGGATTTGGACACATTGATTTTGGCATGGGACTCGTTGTCATTAAGAGGGATCCTTTGGACCCATGATAACCATTTTCAAAATGAATAACTGAAAGATATTCAGTTTTGTTCCAATGAAGGGCAATATCCTCTTTCAAGGGGAGATAATTGAGAATTTGTGAAATTTGATGTTGAACATTGAAATTTAATGGTATGATTGGTATCTTTTAAAAATCTTCTCAAATTACCACTGGGCCAGAATGAAACTTATTTGAAAGCTTCATTACATGGTGTACATTCAGGTTTGTCAAATTCTGACCTCCAGTAGTAGGGTGGGACTGCAAGACAAGATCAAAGTGTTGCATAGGAAAAAATCTTTTTCTCAAGTACAAAGCCATGATTGGTCATATTTACATGTATATATAGAAACATCATCAGGTAATGTAGATTCAAGTTTCTTCAAATCATGGCCACTGGGGGTAGGGTAGTGCCACACTAAGCGATTGAAGTTTTTAAATAGGAATATATAGAAAAAAAATTTCTCAGTAGCAAAGCCATTGATATGCAAGCATCCTTAGGCAGTTTAGATTCATATTTGTAATTTCCTTGGAGATAAATATTACAAGCCTATCTTGACATACCTGCAGGAGTGATGAGTCTAGGGATGCTTACTATCATTCATTCTTTGGATTTTGACCTATCTTTTCTGAGTGAATGACTGAAACAAAACTTTTGTGCCAGGTTAATTTCCAAGTATTTAAGTTCTACTTGGGCTAAATTTGCATAGACGATTATCTACAGTCTAGGGATGCATACTTAAGTCTTGCCTCAGATGCAAATTATTTAAATTTTTAAATGAAGGACTACTGTTGTGTACTTTAAAAAGCGCACTTCATATTTTAGCGGCTTTGGTGCGGACACCTATGCGTTGATTCATAAATATCATTAATAATTCATAAATACATGTAAATAGAACACGTGGCGTGGACGTTTGTAACGCTAATTCATGATTATGCCAACCATGGATTGTGCTAAATTGTGAATACGTCAATTTATGTACACTTACAGTATCGTGACAAAAAGGAACTATTGTGTCCTATTGGAAATTCATTTGGTACTTGACTAGGCATTATAGTTGAACTTTGGTATCTCAAACACTGATATCTCAAATACCACAGATATGTCTAAGTGATTTGAAAGTCCTAACCCCTTATTCTTTAAGAATCTTACCTTGGATGTCTTGAATCTTCGGATATCTAGAAGTTTTTTCTTGGTCCCATTGAGTTCAAGAAAATGAGGCTTGACTGTATATATAAATAAAAGTTTTTAGCTCACCTGAGCTGAAAGCTCAAGTGAGCTTTTCTGATCACCCGTTGTCCATTGTCCGTCCGTCTGTCCGTCCGTCTGTAAACTTTTCACATTTTCAACTTCTTCTCAAGAACCACTTGGCCAATTTTAACCAAACTTGGTACAAAGTATCCTTGGTTGAAGGGGGGTGTAAATTGTTAAAATAAAGGGCCAAGTCCCCTTACAAGGGGAGATAATCAAGAAAAGACAAAAATATAATGGGGTCATTAAAAAATCTTCTTCTCAAGAACCACTGGGCCAGAAAAGCTGAAACTTATGGAAGCATCCTGGGATAGTGTAGATTCTAAATTGTTAAAATCAAGTCCCCCGGGGGTAGGGTGGGGCCACAATAGGGAATCGAAGTTTTACATTGAAATACATAAGAAAAATCTTTAAAAATCTTCTTCTCAAGAACCACTGGGCCAGAAAAGCTGAAACTTATATGGAAGCATCCTGAGGAAGTGTAAATTCTAAATTGTTCAAATCATGACCCCCGGGGGTAGGGTGGGGCCACAATAGGGAATCCAAGTTTTACATTGAAATATATAGGAAAAATCTTAAAAAATCTTCTTCTCAAGAACCACTGGGCCAGAAAAGCTGAAACTTATATGGAAGCATCCTGGGGTAGTGTAGATTCTAAATTGTTCAGATCATGACCCCCGGGGGTAGGGCGGGGCCACAATAGGGAATCGACGTTTTACATTGAAATATATAAGAAAAATCTTTAAAAATCTTCTTCTCAAGAACCACTGGGCCATAAAAGCTGAAATTTATATGGAAGCATCCTGGGGTAGTGTAGATTCTAAATTGTTCAAATCATGACCACTGGGGTAGGGCGGGGCCATAATAGGGAATCCAAGTTTTACATTGAAATATATAAGAAAAATCTTTAAAAATCTTCTTCTCAAGAACCACTGGGCCAGAAAAGCTGAAACTTATATGGAAGCATCCTGGGATAGTGTGGATCCTTAATTGTTCAAATCATGACCCCCGGGGGTAGGGCGGGGCCACAATAGGGAATCGACGTTTAACATTGAAATATATAAGAAAAATCTTTAAAAATCTTCTTCTCAAGAACCACTGGGCCAGAAAAGCTGAAACTTATATGGAAGCATCCTGGGGTAGTGTAGATTCTAAATTGTTCAAATCATGACCACTGGGGTAGGGCGGGGCCATAATAGGGAATCCAAGTTTTACATTGAAATATATAAGAAAAATCTTTAAAAATCTTCTTCTCAAGAACCACTGGGCCAGAAAAGCTGAAACTTATATGGAAGCATCCTGGGGTAGTGTGGATCCTTAATTGTTCAAATCATGACCCCCGGGGGTAGGGCGGGGCCACAATAGGGAATCCAAGTTTTACATTGAAATATATAAGAAAAATCTTTAAAAATCTTCTTCTCAAGAACCACTGGGCCAGAAAAGCTGAAACTTATATGGAAGCATCCTGGGGTAGTGTAGATTCTAAATTGTTCAAATCATGACCACTGGGGTAGGGCGGGGCCATAATAGGGAATCCAAGTTTTACATTGAAATATATAAGAAAAATCTTTAAAAATCTTCTTCTCAAGAACCACTGGGCCAGAAAAGCTGAAACTTATATGGAAGCATCCTGGGGTAGTGTGGATTCTAAATTGTTAAAATCATGACCCCCGGGGGTAGGGCGGGGCCACAATAGGGAATCGACGTTTTACATTGAAATATATAAGAAAAATCTTTAAAAATCTTCTTCTCAAGAACCACTGGGCCAGAAAAGCTGAAACTTATATGGAAGCATCCTGGGGTAGTGTAGAATCTAAATTGTTCAAATCATGACCCCCAGGGGTAAGGCGGGGCCACAATAGGTATATTAAAAGGGGAAAATCTGGTAAAGAACAGCATGGCCAAAGTTACTCAGGTGAGCGATGTGGCCCATGGGCCTCTTGTTTGGTTAGCAAAAGGTAGGTTTTCATAACATTTAGTATATAATTAATTGGTTTGTTTTTAGGCAGCTAACACTACAGAGATGTGGATCATAACAGATGGGGTAGACACTGCTGTATCTAAGATGATAGGGGAGGCAATCAAGGAGGAAAGGGCTCGCAGAGAATGTAAACAATTACAGCTTAGTCAACTGGCACACTTCAAGGTTCAGCAGTTCCAGAAATTAACGGTCATAGGCATTGTTCCTAAGAATGTCATCACCTACTCACAGGAATTCCAGGGAAATGTGAGTAGTGAACACGCTCAGAAACACTTATAGTAAAAAAGTATTGCAGAAAAATTAAAATGTTTTATACAGTTTTGGTCATATGCAAATGCTGAGATTTGTTATAAATTATTCAAGATATGTATGATTTCTAGATTTTTACAGATAATGCATTTATGATCAATCTCTTGGTAAGGCTTTTCATAAAATTTTTATTTTTGTGACATTTAGAATAAAGAAATGGGCATTAATATAAAGAATGTGGGAATTATGCCAAATAGTGACCTTTATGAACTAAATCCTGACCACACCCACTTTATCATTGTGGATGAGGAGGACACTGAGCGAATGTTCTTTACAAACATTCGATGTCAGCTGGAACAGCAATTCCAGTATAGTGTGGGCAGAAGGAGACGACTAAGGAGACTGTTCAGCTGGGGTAATCCTGATCAAACATTTCATATAAACTCCATAAGGAGGTTTAATACACATTTAAAATATAAACATAATAAGGCCCCAAAATATTAATTAATAGTTTCTCAGGCCAAAAATTTCAAAATTCAATGCAGCAGACAGGTTTTTTTTTTTTTTTTTTTAGGTGTTATCTCTTTTTTTTCATGTCAGTCATTCAACAAAATGATGATTTCAGCTGAAAAATGAGTTATTTCCCTTTGCAATATGTCAATAAAATTGAGCTATGCAGCAGTTTTTGACCTGACCAGTCTTATAAAGTTTGAGCCCAATTTCTTTAAGGTCAGTGTTAGGTCAAGGTCATTGATAAAAGCTTACTGTCAAAATGTCAGGCTCACTGCTCATTGCATGACTTTTTCGGTTTTCAACTAAACATTAAAATTAATGATTTAAAAAAAAAAATTATTATTCTTTCATTGTAATTTACAGGGTCGGATGATCAGCATGAGTTACCAGAGCCAGCCATAAAGAAGATGGTACCTGTGGTAGGTTTGTTAGTACAGGGGTCACCAAGGGGAGTAGAACATGTGTTGACCTACTTAAATGATAAAATGCCTGTTGTCATACTAAAGGGAAGTGGAGGAGTGGCTGATTTGTTGGCCTATGCTTTTGAGGAGCTTGTAGAAAGGTAAGGCAAACTAATTAGTCTCTTAAACTGAGATGAAAATTTGAGTTAATTTTCCTCTTGTGATCCCTCCTAGTAGTTTCAGTGTTTAAACTTCTGTCATCATACTTGCCAACAACCACCAACATGAAAAAAGGGGGTCATGGCCCTCTTTGGAAAATGAAAAATCTGGTCATAATGCGTTATGGCATTCAGGACGTATTTTCCATGATTATATTATATTTCATGTATACTATAAGCACCTGTATATTTAGAATTATTTTACTGAAAAGAAGCAATTGAAAATTTGAATATTTCATGAATAAAATTTATTGATTAAATTAACATAATAAAAGGGCATGGAAGGGTTTCATTGTGCAGTATTGACCTGAAGTAAATATGTATTTTATTTCTTTTTAAATACTGAAAGCCCTTTCAGAATCTGCATTGCTGTTTTGGAGAACAAAGGAAGTTTGAGAAAGAATTCAAATCAGAGACATAGAAACATCCCTGTTAAAATCTTGGTTTGGAAGGAAATTTTTATCTCCAGACCTAATAAACAAGTGAATTTAGATGTGAAGTACAGTTGGCCTCATACTATTGTCAATTACTTTATTTTTTCCAGTGAAATTTGTTTTCCAAGATTCTCTAACATGTACATCATACATAAATATCGTTTTTCTTTTTGTTGGTGTTGTTCCTGCTGACCCTTCTATCGGCAGCCATTTTAAAATGACTACAAGTTTTGATTTGTAAAAACATTTCCAAGATAATTTTTAACACCTGCACTGATAATTTATCCATACACAGCCTACTGTACATAGCCATCAGCATTGTTTACGTATATCCAAGCTTGATTTGATAAGTGTAAATGATATTTGCAAACTAATTTACAAACCAAATCAGGAGATTTTCCGGTTGATCTGCAGTAAGATTTTGCATGATAATTATTTTGCAGGACTGATCCTGACTTTGAAGAGCATTTCCTTAAGCCAGAATTAACAAGAATGATCTGTAAAATTTATCCTGAAGATTTTAAAGACAATGATATGGCTCGGACGGAGTTCAGGAACAAAATCTTGCAATGTTGTCATCTAGCCATAGAGGTATAGTTTTACATTTACATTTTTTCATTCAAATTAATATACATGCAGTATTTCTATAAGGTAATAACATATTTTTATGCCCCGCCTTGAATATGGCAGGACATACAGTGTTTTTCATGTCTGTCTTCTGTCTTTCCATCTTTCTGTCCTTCCCTCTATCCGTCTGTCACACTAAGCTCGGTTTCAAAGAAATTGCTCAAGATATGTTAGCCAAAATTCATTCACTGATAAATATTCATGAGAGCTATACAACTGCGACATGAATTTCTGACCTTGACCTATCCTGTAACCTTGAGTATTCCTTATTTTGTGATTAACTTAGATCCAAAGTAGCTATTCAAGATTATTTTGTCAAAACTCATAAACTAGCTTTTGAACTGTGTTATTATTTTCTGACTTTGATATTCCTTACGACCTTGACCACACTCAAAAGGAAAAAAAATCTTCCATAAAGGAAGGCTTTGTAAATTATATGGATATTTAGCAGCCCCCTAGTTTAGTTAAGCCCTTAGGGGAAAGGGTGTGCAGACACAACAGCAAAATTTTTTAACATGGAATATACATGTATATATCATATATATATCATAATATATATGTGGAAGGAAAGCATCTCATGCTGAAGAATGGCAGGGCCAAGGTGACATGGGTGATCATTGTATATAGTCCAAGGGTCACCCTTTGATAAGATAGATAACTCTGGGACAAATGACATTCCTTTATTTTTTGTTTTTGTTTGTTTGTTGTTTAACGTCCCTCTCGAGAATTTTTCACTCATATGGAGACACCAACACTTGCCGGTGGAGAGCTGCAAATTTTGTCCTATGCTCGGCACTTACGGCCGTTGAGCAGTGAGGGGTCTTTTTCGTGCCAACACCTACTGCGACACGGGACCTCGGTTTATACGGTCTTATCCGAAGGACCGGTCTCCATGTCCCACAGTGGGATTCGAACCCGCGACGTTAGGATCAACTCCTTACCTCGCGACTCTAGAGCAGACGCTCTAACCACTGCGCCACGCAGGCAACGACATTCCTTTATAAAATTAAGTTAAATGTTCATTTCTGTCAAATTTTGCCCCAAAGTATGCTTAAATTGTGTCCAGTTTAGTTATAAATTAGATTTATTTTAGAAAATTACTAGTGCTAAAGCAAAATTTAATATTTGAGTGAACAGAAATTGAGTGATCAAACAGTTGATGAACCTTAAGTCTTCATATATGTAAACCTCAGTATCTCAATATTGGGTATGTCAACAACATACATCAATGTTTTGCCATTAATTCAGTGCATCAAATATCTAGGTATTATCTGATAGTCCCATTGATGTTGAGGTACTGAAGTTTACCTACATATATTACCTTAGTTAGCAGATGTTTTAACTTGATTGAAATCATACAATTTTTACCAGTCATTATTTTTACTTTTTTTTTGTAAATGAAGTTTTTATATATTTTCAGGATGAACAGATTTTTTTTACCATAGTGAACACACAAGGATGGGATGCAAATTTAAAAGATCTGGATAAATACCTCCTCAAAGCCTTGTTTAATTGTATGTGTATTTGTCAGTATAAAAAATGTTTTACTGAAATAGTGTTCTTGAAGCAATGAATGCTTGTGTTTTTCTTCTTTTTTATTTGGAAGTTTGCTTTGATGCTATCTTTTAATGATTAGGTGAAAGGCAGACCAGAGTGAAATGGAGAGAAAAAATATTCAAGGATTTACAGCTGATCCTGGATTGGAATCGCCCAGACATGGCTTTATCAATGATCTTTCATAGAGATGACTGGGGAAAGGTCAAGGTACCTTGTATAATTTAATTTCTACAAGTCACTCTTCACTTAATGTTGTTCAAATGATAGATTGATAGTTCAGAGTAGTGGCACTTGGTATACTTTTAAAGGTCACCTGAGCTGAAATCTTTTCTGATCAAAGTTTGTCGTTCATATTTATTGTAGTTAAAAGATGTTTATGTTAAAATGAACCTTTTGAGTTTTGGCCATGAATCCATTCCTATTGATTGAGAAGTCGAGATGAGCTTATGCCATACCATCAGCGTTGGCATCGGTGACCTGGTTAAAGTTTTAGGAGCAAGTCCATTCCCAAGTAACTATAAGCCCTGTCTGGATCAAACTTGCATGGATGATGCATCTAGGGATGAACACTACCACACTTGCTTTGGATGCTGGATCTGACCTACATTTTTCAGTTAAGTGATTAGGTTAAAGTTTTTGGAGCAGGTCCATTCCCAAGTAAATATAAGCCCTACCTGGACCAAACTTACAAGGATTATGCTCCTAGGGATGGACACTACCACACTTGCTTCGGATGCTGGATCTGACCTAGATTTTCCAGATGAGTGACCAGGATAAAGTTTTTGGAGTAGGTCCATTCCCAAGTAACTATAAGCAGGGGTGTGCAATTAAAAAAATCAAGTACTAGCCCACGGGCTAGTGGCAGCAATAAAGTTACTAGCCCCAAGTAAAAAGTTACTAGCCCAAATGTAGGTGGGAAAAGTAACAACTACGAAAACTGAATAAATTATTGTTGAATAAGTCAGGGGTTTAAGGTAATTCTTTTTAAAATTAAAGTTTTATTCTCACTAGTAAAATTGAATCATGCATAAATTAATAATTATGATAGAAAATAAAAAGGAATTTAAATAATTTCCCCCCCCCCCCCCTTTTCTCTATGCATAGCACTAGCTCATCTAAAACGAAGTGAAATCTTTTTTTTTATCTTAAATTATTAAATACACTGGAAATATATTTTATGTACACGTAAATCACATAATACTTATCTTTCAGTTGATTGAGTGATCGTAAATAATAGATATCTGCCTTTATTTACCATAAACACATGAATAGAGGAAATTCGGATTAGGAAAAAAACGATCGTTTTTGGAAGTAAATAAGTCAGGAAGTGCTGCAAAATGGATAAGATTATGGAGATTTACGAACAATAGGAGCATTCTGCCTGGATTTTTTCATTGGTTGGGAATTTAATAGTAAAAAATAAGTGAAAATACCGGTAGTGATTTTCATTTATAACATTGGTATTTTTAATTTTTACTAGCCCAAGGGGCTACCTGCATGCAGAGAACAACTAGCCCGACCCCAAAAAATGGTAGCCCCGGGCGTCGGGCGATGCTAATTGCACACCCCTGTATAAGCCCTACCTTCACCAAACTTAAAGAATTATGCTTCTAGGGATGGACACTACCACACTTGCTTTGGATGCTGGATCTGACCTACATTTTCCAGATGATTGACGAGGTAAAAGTTTTTGGAGCAAGTCCATTCCCAAGTAACTATAAGCCCTACCTGATCCAAACTTGCATGAATGATGCATATAGGGATGGACACTATCACACCTGCTTCGGTTGCTGGATCTTACCTAGATTTTCCAGATGAAGTTTTTTGGAGCAAGTCCATTCCCAAGTAACTATAAGCCCTACCTGGACCAGACTTGCATGGATGATGCATCCAGGGATGGACACTATGACACTCACTTCGGATGCTGGATCTGAACTAGATTTTCCCTATGAGGGACCAGGTTAAAGTTTTTGGAGCAGGTCCATTCCCAAGTAACTATAAGCCCTACCTGGACTAAACTTGCATGGGTGATCCTGATCCAAACTTGCATGAATGATGTATCTAGGGATGGACACTATCACAACTGCTTTAGTTGCTGGATCTGAACTGGATTTTCCAGATGAAGTTTTTGGAGCAGGTCCATTCCCAAGTAACTATAAGCCCTACCTGGACCAGACTTGCATGGATGATGCATCCAGGGATGGACACTATGACACTTGCTTCGGATGCTGGATCTGAACTAGATTTTCCCTGTGAGGGACCAGGTTAAAGTTTTTGGAGCAGGTCCATTCCCAAGTAAATATAAGCCTTACCTTGACCAAACTTGCTTCAGTGATGCATCTAGGGATGGACACTTCCACACTTCTTCGGATGCTGGATCTGACCTTCATTTTCCAGATTATTGACCATTTTGAGAAGGTCTATTCCCAAGTAACTTTAAGCCCTACCTTGACCAAACTTGCTTGGATGATGCATCCAGGGATGGACACTACCACACGTGCTTCAGATGCTGGATCTGACCTACATTTTCAAGATGAGTGACCATTTTGAGCAGGTCCATTCCCAAGTAACTATAAGCACTACCTTGACCAAACTTGCTTGGATGATGCATCCAGGGATGGACACTACCACACTTGCTTTGGATGCTGGATCTGATCTAGATTTTCCACATGAGTGACCAGGTTAAGATTTTGGAGCAGGTCCATTCCCAAGTAACTACAGTAAAACTTGTCTAATCCGGCGACCAGTGGTTCCAAAATTTTTGGCCGGATTAGACAACATCCGGATTGGAGAAAATTGAACCATTATAGCAAGTTAAAAATTACATAAACATAGAGTGGTAAATAAATACTTCATCAAATGTGTCATATTTTACGTATCACTTGAAAAAAAAATCGTCCATTTCCGTTTGTTTTAAACTCTGTTTGTTCTTCAGAATTTTCATTTCTGTTTAAGTTTTTTATTCAGTAACGAAATATAATATCTCTTGGTCATTTATTAAATTTGAAAATCGTTAAATGTTTTAAACACACTCCAAAACCTCATCGTCGTTGTAAATATTATTTTGTTAGGGACAGATTCCTAATTAATTTCTTTCTTTTAAAATTAATATGATTGAATATTAAGACACTTCAAATGTTATAATAAATATTGAACCAAAATCTTCTGTCGTTATGGTCGTTGTAAACTAGCGACACAAAGGGAAGTAATTCGAATTGCACGTCGTGCACACAAAACGAAAGTAGAAAGGAGGTCATGAACAAGTCTCCAAGTTTTTCTACAGACATGCTACACCCAACCATCACTATTACTCGTTCTTTTGCGAGTTAATTTCCTCGCCTTACTTGAGCCATTAAAGATTTTTTTTATCACGTTTGTTAAAATCTAAACTGTCGATACAGGATAGATCATTAACGGGACAATAATTACCCCACGCGAGACTTCTCTAATGACCAGCGGGCACAGGTAAAAATAAGTGGCCGGATTAGAGGATATAATTTGTACCAATTATGAGCAGTTAGTTCTTTAAATAGCGGCCGGTTTACAGAATAGGCAAGATCCGGATTGAACAACATTTATTAAACATAAATTATAAAGGAAATTCAGGGGAGTAAAATATTACGCCGGACTGAACAACATGCCGGAATGCACAACATCCGGATTCAACAAGTTTTACTGTATAAGCCCTACCTGGACCAAACTTTCATTGATGATGCATCAACCTGATTTGGATGCTGGATCCAACCTAGATTTTCCAAATGTCATTGAGTGAATTTTAGCCATATTTTAACATGGATGATGTATCTAGGGATGGACACTTCCAGACTTCCTCTGAATTCTGATTCTTGACCTACACTTTCCAGATGAGTGACCATGGTAATGGTTTTGGAGTAGCTATATAATATTATGGCCTGTTATGATTAAAGTTTACATAGATAGTGCATCTAAGGATGAAAACTTCCAGACTTGCTTTGGATGTTGGAACTGACAAAATTTTCTTGATCAGTAAACAGGTTAAAAGTTTTTTTGAGCAGGTCTATTTCCAAGTAACTATAAGTCTAACTTAAACCAAACTTGCATGGATATTGATCTGGGATGTACACTAACTAAAAAAAAAATTGATGTGAAATTTGCCTTACTTATAGATAACATTCGTCGAGGTGAGCTTCGTAATCTTTGATTACCTATGTTTTTGGAGTAGCTATATAATATTATGGCCTGATATGATTAAACTTGCATAGATGGTGCATCTAAGGATGAAAACTTCCAGACTTGCTTTGGATGTTGGAACTGACCAAAATTTTGTTGATCAGTAAACAGGATAAAAATTTTTTGAGCAGGTCTATTTCCAAGTAACTATAAGTCCTACTTAAACCAAACTTGCATGGATATTGATCTGGGGATTTACACTAACTAGAAAAAAATATAATGTGAAATTTGCCTTACTTATAGATAACATTCATGGAGGTGAGCTTCATAGTCTTTGATTACCTATGTTTTGTTGTAATAGATACATGTATCTGAGATTGGTATAATAATTTTCACATACTTCGCTAGATAAATTACTAAAGCGGTCAGATACACACATGCTTCTTTATACATGTAATTGTTAGTCATTATTTTCAGAAATAATTTCAGTTCAAGCTATTTCACAGATATTTTTGTATTCAGAAGTAGAGTATTAAGAGAAGAAATAAACCAGTAGGATTTCCATTTCCTAAATAATGCTTGGTTTATTTTGTTTTACAGGTTGATAAAAAATTATTTGAGCAAGCTCTTCTGAAGTTGGACAGAGAAGAATTTGTTGAGATTTTCCTGGACCAGGGCTTTCTCATTCACAAATACCTTAACCACAAGAAATACAAACTTCTGTTTGAGAAGGCCGAAGACAGGGAATTTTTTGTCAGTGTTTGTCTGGAGAAGGTCCTGGGGCAGATTGTGGTAAATAATTGACTGCTTAAAAGTTTAAACTCTTTAAAAATAATATATCAGTTAATATTTATGTTATCTCTTTTTAGTTCAAGTGAGCTTTTCTGATCACCTGTTCTCTGTCTGTGCATCAGTCCACCTCTTTAACTTTCCTAATTTTCATTCAAGTTTGTTTAAATCTTGGCTCCCTGCATTGTCGCAAACCACAGGCCAAAATGTACGATCCTCTCCCATTCTGGCCATGGTTGAATGAGAAGAGAATATTTCTTAGCTCATTAAAATATTGACCTATGCGAGTAAAGCATAGTCGGATAATGAACTTTAACGCGACCTTTCAATACCCAATCGCAGTATACGAAACATTTCTTGTATACTGTTGATGTCATTTGTTGATGTCAAATGTGATGGAAACAAATATTGTCATTGGCTGAACATGACGTCACAATATAGAGGCGTAAATATTCAAGATTACGACTCTTTTTGTGATCAAGCAGCCACGGGTAGGAGGGAGCTATATGCGGACTCCGGACCATGGCTTGAGACGATGTGCTCCCTGGGAATACAGTAGTGCCACAGCAAGATTTATGTTAGAGTACATGTATATTTGGAACAAAAATTGAAAAATTTCTCAAAATCAGCAAGGCTATGTTAGTCATATTGATGTTGAAGCATAATGTAGATTCAAGTTAGGTCATTACTCCTTGAGAACTGGGTGGGACCTTGATATAAGGTCAAAGATTTTCATAGGAATAAGGTGAGAAAAATATCCTAGAAAAAAAATATCCTGGAAGAACAGCAGCGCCAAGGTGACTCAGATGAGCATTGTGGGCCATGGACCTCTTTTTTTTATGGCGTCGAGCCTTAGAGCTTGAACGTCATCTAGCTGGTGTCTGATTGAAATCACTACCAAAATTTACATGACGGAATGTGTCAGTTGATGCATCTGCAAAAGAAAATAGCAATAGTAATGCATCAATGTCTTTGAAAATGTTCACAATGAATAAAAGTTTGAAATTAAAATTGCATCAGTTGTATACACAATGAATTCTATTACAAAACAAAGATGCTTTGTTTAATTTCACAAGATAAACATGATAGTTCTTGCGGATGAATTTTTAAAGAAAGGATGCATCGAATGACATGAATAACGTTTCTGAAGGATAACAATACAACACAAACAACCCAAAAGGCCGTAACATAATAAAAACATACACTCTAATACTAGAAGATTAAAACAATCTTATAAACAATCTTATCATAAAAACTGAAGATTTTACTGTATTTCTCCATTTTCTCCAATACGCAATATTCTGTATACCACACCCAATCATAATTCAATCCTAGTCATAATAGAGCTAAGACATGGTTGTGGTTTAGATGCACTATAACAATACTTAGACATTGACAATTAGAATAATTATACCCCTGCTCCAAAGAAGACGGGGGTATACTGTTTTACCATTGTGTGTGTGTCTGTCTGTCTGTAACAAATTTTGGTCACAATTTTCACAGCAATTACTCATGGCAGATGCTTGAAATTTTATCACACTCATTGTATAGGCATGCCATATGGAAGGATTTATTTTTGTGCGAATCCGATGTCAACTTGCTGTTTTTCTGTGCGTCTGTTCGTACCATACGTAACAAATTTTGGTCGCAGTTTTCTCAGCAATTACTCATCACAGATGCTTGAAATTTTAGCACACTCTTTGTTTAGGCATTCCATACGGTGGGATTTATTTTTGTGCGAATCCTTTGTCAACTTCCTATTAAACCATGCGTCTGTCCGTACCATACATAACAAATTTTGGCCGCAGTTTTCTCAGCAATTACTCATCGCAGATGCTTGAAATTTTAGCACACTCTTTGTTTAAGCATGACATATCAGGGATTTAACAGTACCTTCTCAGGGGCCGAAATTCGGCCCCATTCCCAATTGAAAATGAGTTCAGTTTTTCCCAATTTGGCAGTATTTTTTCCAGTTGGTGAACAATGCTTTTATATTCAATTATCTTGGAAAAACACAAAGTAAAATTGTCAGATTGTCTGTAATTTTCATCTATTTAACTCATTTAGCAAAGCTACAGTCATAACACATGTTTAAAAACACTGTAAAAACATCGCCAACTTTTAATCCAAATTTCCTCCGTTTTTCTGAAAATGGTGATATTGTGTAATTATATAGATTTATTAAGTTATTTCTACCTACTCAATTGATCTACGAGTGAATGGTAAGGACTGTAGGCATTATTTCAAATAGAAAAATACATTTTCAATGCATTAATACATATTAAAAGAGGACTTTGAGAAAATGTGTACTTAGTATAATTTTTTGCTGGAGGTTTATAATCTCCAGAAACAGATTCTGTAATGACCTGAATTGGAATCTCATACACACATGTACTACCTTAAGTTGTATAAACACTTTTTACTCATTGAAGTCAATTTTACTTCTATTAATCTGTTATTCATAATTGATCTTGTATGAAGTTGGATCATATTTAATTGTTTGTTGGTTGCCCAAATTAGAGTTCATGCTGAAATGTTAAATGAATTACACCTGAATACATGATTTAAGCAACATTTTAAATTTTTCCCAATTTCATCAAAAAGCCGATAATTTTTCCCAATTCCCAAAAATGGCGTTTCCCAAAATAGGCTGATAAATCCCTGCATATGGTGGGATTTATTTTTGTGTGAATCTGATGTCAACAGCCTGTTTTTCCATGGGTCTGTCCATACCATACATAACAAATTTTGGTTGCAGTTTTCTCAGCAATTACTTATTACAGATGCTTGAAATTTTAGCACACTCTTTGTTGAGGCATGTCATATGGTGGGATTTATTTTTGTATAAATCTGGTGTCAACTTCTTGTTTATCCCTGTTTCTGTCCATAAATGAACTTGTGTATTCACATCAGAGCGGGGGTATTATTAATGAGCATTGTCTCACAGACTTCTTGTTTTATATAAATTCATTAAATCCTTCATTGTTCTTCAACTGTCTGAAAAGAGATGAGATTGATTGTTTGACGGTGTCTAGTCACTTCGAACCCTGCTCTATTTGGACCATTGCGCAAGGCCCCAGACTATAATTGTGACATTTTGTTTAAAACTACAATTTTTTTTTATCAGTTACCTGAGTCACTAAGTTGACCTTTTGCTATTTCAAATTCAAAAAGATCTTTTGAAATTATTTTTCATGTTCGACGCCATTGAAGCCTTTCATGCTTTTGATATTATTTTTTATTCTCAGTTATCATCTATAAGAAACAAAGAGTTTATGAGTGATTCTTTGTTATGTTGGAATTCACTTAGTTTGTTTTTGGTACAGCTGTAAATGTGTTGTAATTTTTTATTCTAGGATATAGATCAAGAACTGGATGCCAACTTTCTGGTGAATGACCTGAATCGACTTATTTTTAAACTGCTAGGACTGGTAGATTTTGTCCAGCCTTATGAGATGTCCATGAACTCAGTGGGGCTCTATGTACTAGACCCTGCAGTGGCGGAGAGGAAGGTAAGATACCTTGTGTAGTGTAACATTCAGGCCCCACGGTAGTGTTAAGTTGCTAATGTATTAGAAAATGTATTATATCTTTGAAAATCTTTACTCTTAAACATCTATCTGACATATGCAGGATTATAATGTACATCTAATAAAGTGTACCAAAAACAAGGTGTGTTTGTGAAACACCGATGCCCCCGTATGGCAACTTATAGTGAAGGTTAAACTTTCTCAAATGCAAATCAAATATGTTGGTACCCAAAGTAAGTTCTTGTCCTGAAGAATATACCTGTGAAATATGAAAGCCCTAGCAGTAACCATTAAAAAGATATGGAAAAGGTTAAAAAAATTCAAAGGTAAGTCAAACATCAAGGTCAAGGTCAAAATTAATGGTGCCCAATGAAAGGCCTTCTCACAAGAAATACACATGTGAAATATGAAAGCCTTAGCACCAACCATTCAGAAGATATGGCCATGTTTAAAATTTATCAAAAAGTAGTCAAACTCCAAGGTCAAGGTCAAAAGGTCAAAGTTGTTGGTATCCAAAGTAAAGTCTTGTCACAAGGATTACATATGTGAAGTATGAAAGCAGTAGCACCAACTGTTCTAAAGTTATGGCCAAGGTTGAAGTTTTCCAAAAGTAGGTCAAACTCCAAGGTCAAAGGGTCAAAGTTGTTGGTATTCAAAGGAAGGTCTTGTCACAAGGATTACACATGTGAAGTATGAAAGCCCTAGCACCAATTGTTCAAAAGTTATGGCCAAGGTTAAAGTTGGGTACAATTTTGTACAACTTGGTCAAACTCCAAGGTCAAAAGGTCAAATATGATGGTACCAAAAGAAAGGTCCTGTCACAAGGAATACACATGTGAAATATGAAAGCCAAAGCTCCAACCAATCAAAAGTTATGGGCAATGTTAAAGTTTTTGCAGACAAACAGACAGACAGACGGACATACAGGGCAAAAACTATATACCCCTGAATCTTCGATATGGGGGCTTAAAAATAAAAATTCTTATTTGAAAGTAAAAAGATCAATCATTGTTGTAATCTTACAAAAAATTATTTTACATGCGTGTTGATGCGGCTGTCTTAGAGAATATAAGGAAATCCTAAAATTCAGGTTCCCATGGGCCTCTTGTTTGAATAGATTTGTTGAAATATTGATAATAAAAATGATAGATGACTTATTTCAGGCTTTGAACTGGTTGACAGTCTGGGCAGTTCTTATGAACAGGCGAAAGCTGGCTAAAGTACTTTGGAACCGCTGTGATGAACCAATAGCTTTGGCTCTTATTTGCAGCAACCTTTACAAAGAACTGGCTAGAAATTGTACTGAACTTTTTCTACGAACAGAGATGGAAAGGAATGCCAAGTAATTCTGACTATCAATTATTTTCTATCTAAAACTATCAAAAACATGGACAGGTATCCAAGTTAAACTATATTTCTGTTATCCCAAGCATAAATTCCAGTGAGAGGTCCTTAAAGGTCATACAAAATGGTTCTTAACACTAGGATTTTACTTTTTAAACATAAAGATTGGTATGAAAGAGAGTCAAATTACTTTGAGTAAAAAAAATTTGCCTTTGCTTAACTGAGTATTGAAGGCATAAACTTGTGCGCTTGATAAATCTGTTACCGGCTTATCGTTCTGGATTTTGTGGTTTTATGATGACACAAAGACCCGTTGATGTAAATAACACATTAGGCAAAAAAAATTAATACCGTATTTGGCCGAATATAATACGCATTGGTGTAAAATACGCACCCCCCTTTTTGAGCCTGAAACTGGGGGAAAAACGCAGTTCGGTTGTATTATACGCAGCAGAAAATTTTAACAAGCGGTGTTCTGAACTTTTGAAAATCGCGGTAATTTGCTATGAAAATCGGCGCGGAGATAAAGTGCAGAAAAATTTACAGAACACGATATTTTATTCAAATGCGTGTTTATTTTTTAATCTTGACTTTCCATATCGCGGCAATCTGGAGGAAATTATTTATTTAACAAAGCACGAGATAATGTTGCATTAAAGTATTAACAGAGTTTATTATTAATTTTTTTTTTTAGCTAACGGTGATATTGAAATTATACGTCGCCGTATTCTAACTATTCTTTGTGGAAATAATTTTATTTCAACAAAGCACGAGATATTGTTGCAAGTTTAACAGTTGTCATATATATTTTTAGTTTAAGGTAATCATGTTGAAAATTATGTAAATTTAACAGGCAAGCGATATTGCAACATCAAAGTATTCATAGACTACGATTTTCCTCTTTTGAACTTGAAATTAATTAATTAAATAAATAGCTGATGTTATAAAAATAAAATCAAAATTTAACAAGCGTATAAAGTGTAGTTATCAACACACCTCCAAAGCTGTGAAAAATGATGTACAAAGGTGGGATATATGTCTTCGTACATCGAGGTAATCTTCGTGGATATCTTATTTTCTACAGAGCACGAGTAAATGATAACACTTAGGTTTCAACATACTTCATATTTCCTTTTTTAACTTTCAATCATTTTAACACGAGGCCGATATAAGATAAAGTAAAATTACATTTAACAAGCGTTTAACTGTTTAATGTGTCGTAATCAACACACGCTTATACATACGAAAGATCATAAACCAACCCCCGATTTTTAACAAAGAAAATAATCAGAGCCATTAATAAGGGCAGTAAATAATCAGTGCTCTAGCTTTGGAGTCGGTAAACAATTTAATTGCCTGGAGGGGTGTTGAGGGGTAATTATCAAGTGACAAGCGCACGTGTTCACAACATTGGCTTCCATTCATTGGGACGTATAGAGGGGTGTTTATTTTGAAATGAATTTTCACTGAGTTATTTAAAACCTAAAATAAATTTGGTTTTATTGTATTTCATTAAAAAATGACTGTACTACTTTTTTGACCGAGTGTCTGACTGATTAGGTACATGTGTACTATTATTACGGAAGCACATGGCAAAGGAATGTGTGAACATCTATAAATAACATCGTTAATGGCGGCCTACACGGAGAAGATGAACATGCAGCTCAAATTAATTTTAACTTGCTTTTAAATTTAATTTAGCTATCAAAAGGTTATAAATATAACATTTTTAACAAGTCTACATTCCAACAATAACTTTCCGAAGTTTTTTTTTTTTTAATGCTTTATTTTTGAAAAAGTTTTCATATACATAATATCAAATAACACAGACATATATGTACAAACACACCCACACCCACACACATCCACACACTCACTGTGCACCTTTCCCAAAAAAAACCCCAACTGTTCAATATTACAGCTATAGTTATACTAATTAGAATTTCTTATATTAACAAATCAAATCAAACATTGCCCATTTACTATACATATTAGTTTTACAATGAAAGTTACTTTCACAATATTTTTCAATTTTTCTATAATACTTAAAAATGTTAATTGCTTCTGTAAATTTAGGTATTGTACATTGAGATCTTCAGTGATACAAATACTTTTTTCCTAACAAGATAAGAAAATTTTCTAAACAACTTCCATCAATGTTACCAAGCATCACCTTTTGTTTTGAAATTACATAATCATTTTCAATAGCACGATACCAATTTTCAAAATCTCTCCAAAACCTGGTTACATGTATACAGTCATAAAAAAGATGAATCAATGTTTCTGGATCTGTTTTACAGAAAGAACAAACATTATTTTCAGCAATTTTTATCTTGTGAAGAAAAGAATTTGTGGCTAGGAAGCCCATAAGAATTTTATATTGAAAGTAAATTATTTTGGTGTCCTTTGTGCATATGGATGCATTCTGAAGGGAAAAATTCCAGTGTTTTTCTGTGATAGGTTCATTTACATAAATCTCCCATTTTAATTTTTTGGGCTCTGGTGCCACAAATTTCTTATCTTTTATAACTTTATACAGAAATTTCATACTTGTCACAGACATCATTTTTTGTATAACACATTTCTCTGGTTCTACAAATTGATTACCTCTATCTCTCATATAAACAATTATTTCCCTTTTGACTCTTGATGGTACTCTTGATATAATATTAAAATAGTTTTAAAAATTATTAGTACCAACCATATTCTTGACATCATTAAAACACTTAAATTTTCCATTATCTATCAATAAGTCTTTCAGTATTCTAAAACCTTTTTCCACCCAAGAGGTGTAGAAACTCCATTTATTTACATCAACAAAATTTCTGATATCAGAATATAAATAATCTAAAACACTCACAGGATTTTTTTTAACAATTATAAGAGCTTTGTTAACATCTTTCCAAAAATCATTACCAATGTAATTCAACAACTCTGAAAGTTTTTCTTTGGTTAAATAAAATACAAAATTAATATCTTTTTGATTTAAAATACAGCATAATAATTGCTGCCATGCTCCACTGTTGTCTGTAAGGACTCTCTTTATCCATTTAAGCTTTATATATGATATGAAGGAGGATAAATGAATCATATTTAGTCCACCTTCTTCAATTTTACCTATTAAGGTATTCCTTTTTACTTTTTCCACCTTGTATGCCCAAATAAATTGAAATAAAATTTTATTGATCTCATTAAGAAGTTCTTTTGGTGGATTTGGTAAAGCTGAGAATAAGTGTATAAATTTTGGAATAACTAGCGTTTTAATGACAGTAATCTTTCCTATGGGAGTTAATTCTCTTTTTGCCCATGATGCAAGTAATTTTTTGATAGAATTTATTTTGGATTGATAATTAATAGTCACAATATTTTCTAAGTTTTCTGTAAATATTATTCCTAAAAGCTTAAAGGTGTCACCACCCCAATTAATTTTTAAGTCTTTGCATAGAGTTTGTTTTGATCCAGCCTTGCTTCTTAACCATATTGCTTGAGATTTTGAAATATTAAGTTTCAAACCAGATGCATTTCCAAATTGTTCAATTAATTTCATCGATTCTCTCAGTGATTTTTCACTTCCATCTAATGTTAAAAAAGAGTCATCTGCATACTGTCCTAGCTTGTTTTCTTTCCCATTAATGGATATGCCTTTGATATTTTCATTTTTCTTCAATGAGATTGCTAGTAGTTCTACTGTAATGATAAAAATATATGGTGCTAATGGGTCTCCCTGTCTACATCCACGTTCAAGATTAAAAAAGGAGGATAAGTTTCCATTATTTATCACACAGCTTGTGCTGGATGAGTAAAAAGTATTAAACCATTTAACTAATGACTCCCCAAAATTAAAGGACTTTAATGCTTTAACAATAAAATCCCATTCTAATGAATCAAATGCTTTTTCAAAATCTAATAAAAGGAGCAAACCAAACTGTTTTTTATCTTTAAGGTAATCTATTAAATCATATAAAAACCTGGTATTTTCACCTATAAAACGTCCTTTTATAAAACCTTTTTGGGTATCACTTATAATACTGGTCAACACATTCTTAATGCGATTCGCTATGGTACTAGAACCAATTTTGTAATCTACATTTAATAATGAAATAGGTCTCCAATTTTTCATGTATCTTCTATCCTTTTCCTCTTTAGGAATGCATGTAATTACCCCCTGAGATTGGAACTGTGAAAGTTTTCCAGTTAAAAACCCTTCATTTAAAGAATTCATAACAAAGATACCTATATCATTCCAGAAAAATTTGTAAAATTCCACTGTAAACCCGTCTGACCCTGGTGATTTTTTGTTTTTCATATTTTTTAGTGTCTTTGTGCATTCTTGAAGTTTCAGAGAACCTTCACAATTGTCTCTTTCTTCATCAGATAATTTGACGTTATGTTGTAAAAAGATATTTTCAGACAAAAATGTTTCATTATTTTTATTTTTTTTACTTTTATATAAATTTGAGAAAAAAGACCTTTGTTCATCCAGAATGTCAGACTGATCTGAAATATGTTTACCATCTGAGTTTATTAATTCAGATATTGTTTTATTTAAGAAATTTCTTCTTTCTAATTTACAGAAATAGTCAGAATTTTTTTCCCCCATTTCATACCAGGTAGCTTTTGAGCGTAACATTAAACCCTCTTTATAATTTGACCTAGAATTTTGTAAAGTTTGCTTTTTTTCTTCAAGTGTCAAAATATCTTCTGCTTTTCCTGAAGTATTTACTTTTCCTTCCAAATCTAAAATTTCCTTTTCTAGTTTTTTCCTAATTTTTGTTTTTTTGATCTTATAGATGAATATTCTATTGTTAAGGATCTGATTTTCATTTTCAAAACTTCCCAGAAAAATTGATTACTTATACTAAATTGAATACTCTCCCTTTGCTCAATATCTCCTGATACCCTATATTCCTCAATTGTTTCCAAAATACATTGCTTTACTTTTTCTATATACTCATTTTCATGTAATAATTGACAGTTAAATTTCCAGTAACCTCTCCC